ATTAGCATGAATCCCATCGTCAGCGAGTCTCAGACTCTGTCAGCTTTTGCCAGAGGAATTCACCATGACAATGCTTTGTGCAGGGGTGCTGATTCTCCGAAAGTACTCCGTAGCGCATTGATGATATTCTTGGTCGAATGATGGATCCTTCAGGCCGAACCAGCGACTGATAGTATCTCACACCACCCTCGCACACAAAAGGGTCGCCGGAGGGAATGGGCCGGCTGCAGGCAATATCTTTCATGATAGCTCCATGAACCATATCCTGGCACAGCCTACGCTGCTTTCGCCGTTAAAGGAGATGACTTCGGCCTTCTGTCTGGAGTATACCTGACCCGCGTCATGGCTCGGGCGGAGGGTCCACCTGCTAAGCCAGGAAGTCGTTCTGAGACTAAAATACTAGTAGCTCCAGTCGAGGTGATAGCCTCTTTGGCTCGAACAACGGGCCGAAATGAACAGGCCAGTCGTAGCAGGTTAATAGAAAGTGGCTCATACCGCGGGGTCCGGGTAGCCTGGAGTTGCCGACTTTCTCACGGTGTCGCTTCCCCGCCGCCCTTCCCCAGATTTCTCTCCTTGGTCTCCCCTCCTTTAGCAATCGCATGATTCTCGGTGACTGCTCACCGTGTGGCCATCTTGACCACCGAAACTTGTCCGGCGAGCATCACTCTTTCTCAGAATACAATGAAGTCTCCAGAGTCTCGCTCCACTGCTGTTGCTACTGCTAACTGACGGGAGTCTCACACTTGTTTCCGCATACAAATGGACTCACATCCTTCCCCCACCAAGCAAAAGGCCTCCAAGCAAGCCTGCGACAACTGTCGTCGACGTAAGATCAAATGCTCGCGCGAGCTGCCTTGCGATAAGTGTCGACGCCTGCTTCTTTCTTGCTCCTACAGTGATGTGCTCCGGCGCAAAGGGCCCAAGTTTCGCACCTTATATCCGCTTGCGCCCATTCATCCACTGGTATCAAGACAACAGAATCCATATCAACACAATCCGTCACATAATCCACTGAACAAGCAATGGACTACAGATGGAGTGGGCTATCCGTTAAGCTCACCGATGTCGCCTTCCTTTACAGTGGCAGACCCTCAATACTTACCCCATGACGCCCCTGAGCCGTTTTCTCAGCTTCCTCCGCCAGAGCTAGTCTCCTCGCCTGACTCAACCAATTCGTTGTCAGACTCTAGTATGGCACTAGTGCGCCCTTATGCACGACGCCTGTCCGCTCCGGTGCTACTGGCCCATGTGAATGTTTATCTGAAGTATCTGTTCCCCATCATGCCTGTGGTGCGGAAGGAGGAGCTCCAACAAGATTGCCACCAGCCTGAACGTTTATCGCCCCAACGATATGCCTTTCTTGTCGCCCTATGCGCAGCCACACACATCCAACTCAAGCTGGATGGCACAGCATCTGTCCCAGAACCTTCACACCTGCAAGCCGGGATTGACGGGCATTCCTGGATGTCCGGCGAAGAGTTGCTGGCTGAGGCAGTACGCGCAAGGAAGGATTGTGACCCAGTAGATGGAATGAATATAGAAAGTCTTCTTACGTCTTTCTTCCTGTTTGCTTCGTATGGCAATCTGGACAGACAGGACCATGCCTGGTTCTACCTCTGTCAAGCCACTTCCATGGTCTTCACGCTGGCACTCCACCGGGAATCAAGCTATGTGGATCTGAGTATCGAAGAAGCCGAGGAACGGCGCAGGGTGTTCTGGCTACTGTTTGTCACAGAAAGGTAGATTCGTCCTCGGAAAGCATTTGCCAGTCTTTGACTAATATGAATTAGGGGCTACGCACTCCAACAAGCAAAACCGGTAATGCTGCGCAATTCAATTCGTAAGCCGCAAGTGCTTTGCTCCGAAGATCCTATCTTAGCATACGGTTTCATCAATCTTATCAGCATCTTCGAGAAATTGACCGTCAACCTCTATGACTGGGTCTCTGCCGGAGGCATGGACGGCTCGTCCGAGATGCCCCCTACGTCTGCTATTCAATCTAGTCTCTGCAACGCGATCTCGGTCGACGGAGTTTCGGAGATCCAAAAGGTCGACATACTCATCACCCAGCAATGGCTACAGACAGTAATGTGGAAACTTTCCATGACTCGCGCCACTCAGCCTGGGTCTCGCGATGAGGCAGTCCTCCCCTTTCACCTCCCCGTTCTTGTCGGCAAAGCTGTTATGAATGTTATTGGTGCTGCATCCCAGGGAGCTGTTGATGCTCACGGCATTGGCATGGTTAGTACATCAGTTCCAACTTAGCACATGCCAATGCCATTTACTAACAACAACATAACAGGAACAAAAACTATTCGACCTGGGTTCCTCAGTCGCAGACGTGGCGCGATCGCTCAATACTAAAGCCGCGCACCGTCTTACTGAAGCGGCCGTCGATCCCCGCGAACTCCTTTGGGGCATCCTCACTACCTTATCACGCATTCGCGGCTCTCAGTCGTACCTCTTCCCCGCATTGTTGGAGCGATGCAAAGGTGCCATGGATTTCACATCCCCCACGTCAATGGGCAACTTCCTCCCTCCATTACCCACTGCTCCCACATGGGAAGAGGAAACCGGGCTCGCCGTTGCTACTGTTTCGGAGAATCCTGATTCCCATGAACAAGAGACAGCATTAATGGAGCCACTATCGCAACTTCTACCCACTCCACAGGTGCAATTTCCGGAAAACAATCTTTTGAACTAGGAAGGGAACTACGATGATGACGATGCTGGCATTAATTCGAGTTTATTACGATTTTGCTTTTGTTATGATACCATTTATCTGGAGACTATGTGGCAATGTATACGGCATGAAGGCTGAATTGTATGTAATAAAGCATGTATATAGGTGATGAGACTATCTATTCATTATCGATTGTGCTCGAATATTAGCTCAATCACCATGCATTTACACTTGAAAGGGAAGCCATCGCGCCATCATAAATGAATCTAAAGGAGTAACATGTAGTTATTCAAAATAATTCTTTGTTCTAGTCTAATTGCGCTATACAAAGCAACACACCCGGGTCCTTCGAATAAATGTACAATTGGTATGAAAGTGTAGAGAAAAAGAAAAGTGTAAGAAACCCAAGACTATGTACCTGTATCGCGCACGAATCTGATATCATCCCAAGCTAAACAATCAAGTCAAGTTTCATGATCTATGCGCCGTTAAAAAAGAAGCAAAATTATAAACGTGGCTAGCGTAGAAGAGGGGGTGAAAGGAATAACCCTCTTCATATATAAGTGAAGAAGTTAGGGGGTAGGACATGAGACAACCTGTAGCCTGTAGAAGCAGTGCAGGCGATTTTGAAGATGGATGAAGGTGGGGGCGGAGGGGGAACGAGGGGGGGATTGCATGAATAGTAAATGTGCCAAATTTGAAAAGATAGGCGGGTCTTCTTAGGCTGCTCGCCAGATCAACTCTAAAACTTGATCACCTTGCTCCGGGTCACGGTGGACGTACCATTGACGGACGCGGTTTCCGTCAATGATGGCGTCTTCGTGCAGGTAGCTAATCTTTCCCTCGTCCTTTAAGCGGAGAGGACCAAGCTCATGCAAGTACGACTCGAATACAGCACCGTTGTGGCTGTCCCACGTGAGCTCCATGCTTCTGTCGCCTGGCTTCTTCTCGCTGCTATACTTCACCACCGAGAAGCCGTTGGTGAGGATCCAGCCATCTCCAAAGTGCCATTTCCGCAGGAGACATGAATCACCGCAGATTTCGGTGACCGCACTGGCTTTGGCCATGTCCGCGTGGAACCAAGACTTCCAGTGATGTACTGACAGCGGCGGTTGCCGTTCCGCCTCGAAAAACCCGGACACATCGCCCATCATGTCGAGCTGGTGCAGGCGGTGGTCGATGGTCAAACGAACACTGGTGTACTGGTAGATGCAAAGAGAAATTCTGCGGTCGCCCGTCACATCCATTCTCTGGCAGTCCTCGAATACTTCCGGCCGGCTCAATTCTTGGATCAAAGGCCGGGACAAGAAGACGCCTGCGCCTCCAAATCCCATCAATCCAAACACTCCAACCTGGGGAATGCTTTCAGACAGTCCTCCCACGTACATGGGTTTCGTTTCATCATACTCCTTGAGCCCTTTGACCAACTCTGGCATCGAGAGGAAGAATGTATCGTCGTCCATGACGCACGACCATTTCGTTTCTGGACGCGCATTCTTGGCCAGGTGAGGGACCAGCGAAAAGTATCGGCGCTGGTACTCTTCACTCGACTCCGATATTGAGAGATTTATTCCAAGCGCATCAGCCTTTAGCAGAACTTCGTGTGCCCTCTCATCGGGCTCAACCAAGGCAAAAATGTGAGCATTTGTATAACCCGCCCAATGAGAAAACGCGTCCAGGGAGTCGTTCAGCCGTTCTATCGTCGTAGCGACACCGAAGTCGATGTGGGACGCATCCGCATGTCTAGGGGGTGTCGGGACTTGGAGGGACACCGGGTTTGGTATTAAGCAGTCCTCATGCAAGAGCTCCTCCGGTAGATGAAGTTGGTCGCCATGGGGCTTTTGCGGAAATAAAGGAACTTGGAGACGTTGTGACAGCGGCAAGACGTTGCTGGGAGATTGAGAGGCGACTACTTCGCGTCGCACGTACTGGGTCAGTTTCTGGACGTTCAAGCGGCGGAGAGCCTCGAAGTCCGGCTGGCAGCCAACATCGGAAGTGATGGTAATGTTGGAAACAGTTTCCGTGGTCACGCGCTCGGATTCTAGACGGGGCCAAAGGAATATGGTGAAGCTAGTGACGATACAGCTGATGACGACAAAGCGCAGCAGCTTTCTCTTCCCCATCGATGACCGCGGTTTGTCCGCAGGTTTTGCCCACATTCTCGATTTTCCGTGTCTCTCACGTATAATCCCCGGTAAATGGATAACTGGAGTAGGATGAAATAATCACAGTGATCGCACTAACAGTGCAAGACCATGTCGAATCTTCCGGTAAGAGGGGACAAAGGGGGGAGGTGGTGAGTACCGGGGGAAGGAGGGGAGGGCCGGATACTGGGCGTGTAAAGGAGGGAAGATTGGCAGCGAAGAAGGGGGGAAGGAAACGTGGAGAGGAAAACCCAGAGGATAAAATGAACAGCAGACGATCTCTGGACCCCAACGGATGAAGGAAAGAAGAACGCGGAAAGAATGACGAAGGTCAGCGGGCAAGCGACAACGTCAATGGAGCCAAGGTTGAAAGGGAAGGCTGATAGGCGATCAACGGGGCTCCAAAGCAGCACAGCGACAAGAAACACCAAGAAACAAGCACTTGCACGGCTCGAAATTGGTCGGATCTGACCTGGCGGAGACCGGCGACAAGCCAGGGATCGGCCATGCCCTGGACTTTGGGAAGATGGGACGCTGGAAGCCACGGATGGAGTCTACGATGCTTGGTCGAATAAGAGCCGGTCTGGCCGTCAGGGCACACCTGCTCGGTGTCCACTGGGGGCCCTCGATCGGCCATTCAAACACGCTCTAGGAGATTTTAGTCTGATGCTTTCGTCTCCAATGTCTGCAGCGATGGACGGTGACACTCTCCCAGACTCCCCCAGGGTTGCGTTAGGGGTCCGCCTTAGCGGTTTACCCTGTACCAGTTCCCCCGTCGCCATGGCTCATGGCGCGGTCGCATTCTCGCTTCCGATGGCAAAAGACGCCGCCAGCCAGAGGGTTATCATCTACGGTAGTAGCAGAACCTAACACTGTACACTACCCCTAACTTATTGGTTGGTCTGCTGTCTATTCGGTTGCACTAGGCTAGACATCCGCGGGACAGCCACCGTCGCCGCAGCAGCTGGTGGATGGCACAACCGCCCGTTGATTGACGCGCATTCCACTTGGGGGCGATGGTCCAACCGGACAGCGGGGGCGGCGGCTTGATGACGACGGCTGCAGGCGAATCGCTTGGCAGTGCGTCTCATGATGGGCTTATCGACTTCCTTATCTGGTCGGTAGTGTGTGTCTGTGTCGCCAGCCAGTTGCATAGTGGGAAAAGCCCTGCTGCGGGTTGGCGAACTGACCAACAAGTGGTGCATGTGCATGTGTTCTCGTCTCGAAAGCATAAAGAAAAAGGCATCTGTATGCCAATACAACCTCTGGCACGAGATGTCAAGAAAGTCTTGATAAGTTGACTATCGCTTTCTTTTCTAGTGACCACGCGTCGACTCCATCAGGGAATTATTCTCTTCCTTTGCGAGCCACTCGCCGTCGCAGCCTTTTTCCGGCACTGCAGCCTCATGAGATTTGCTCCAGTCGCTTTAATTTCCCATGGCCAATTGCGATGAAACGGATGGATTTTCATTATCGCTCGTCGTCGGATGAGTTCGCGAGATATGATATGTAGTCTAGTTCCTATGTCCTGGGCAGTAGTGATAATAGATGTCGCCAAAGCTAATTAACACCACTAGTCAAGTACTAAGCATGGGCTTATATTGCGTGCATGGATTCGTACCACCGATACACAGATAAATTGTGCGGGCTGAAGGCAGACAAATACTTTCAATCGATCCTGTGCATTTTGGTTTCAAAAGATTCCTATAAAGTTGCTTCGTTGCCCCAGCTGAACGGCTTATCGCCAAAGGCTGTCTGCTTGTGTTGGTGTAATCTGCCCCTGCATAATTCCATGCAACGTTGCCCAGAGAAGAGTAATCAAAAGCAACGCCGTGGCGCGGTGAGTAAGGGGCATAAAATGTGAAGCACAACGGCCAGTAGTCTAGACCATTACTGGGACTTATTGTTGCACAACAGGGTTGACATTAGATCAGTCAAGAACCCCCCGACAACTGCATAATTTAGTTCATTTCATTTCCGCCTTGGAACGAAGTCACATGGTGAGCCGGGGGGACTACGGGGGGCGCCCCCACCCACTTACGCAGAGTTCCCCAATGGGGAAATATCTCGATCCCGCACACATGGCTTCCAGCGGAGGCCACCTGCCAGATCATCCTCGGCCAGTCTATACTCTCGACTTTACTACTCGCTTATTGCATATGTCCTTATTTGTGACTCGATAAATAATCCACCTCTCCTTCCCTCCGAGCCCTCGTCGGGCCCCTCATCCCGTTCCGCGTTCCGCGAATTGACACACATTCCGCTATGGCTGCCCAGTCGCTGAGCTCGTTGCTACAACGGGCATCCATTGACGACCACGAGGAAGTCCTGCAGTCATGCAATGCCGCGCTGGTCAAGTCGAAGTCGGACTTGCATGCTCAGCACATAAAGGCAGTTGCTCTGCTGAAGCTTGACCGCTATGAGGACTGCCTGCGAGTATTCGAAGAAGCCGGTGATGGCTTGAAGAACAGAGCAGCTTTGGAATACGCTTATGCTCTATATAAATGCGGCCAGCTGGACCCGGCAATTGAGGTGGTATCTCGTGTCGCCGGTGAGAGGGGTGCGCTGCATTTGGAAGCTCAAGCCGTACGTTATCACTTCCCAGAAAGGCTATCTACTCTCGGATATCTTCTGTCATAGTCCGTCTGGTCATCCTAACTCTCATCTTTCGTAAAGAGCTACCGTTCCGAGAAATTCCGTCGCGCTGCCGAGATTTACGAAGAATTGTCGAAAGACAATGCGTCCCTGTCGAACGAAGAGAACGATTTGCGCATCAACTCGTGGGCTACGGATGCCCAGCTGCAGTGGAAGGGCTACCCCCAGTTTGTACGCCATAGCAGGCCGATGCGGGATGATCTAGAGGCGTTCGAGACGGTCTATAATGCAGCTTGCTTGAGTATCGCCAAGGGCGAGTTCCAGCAGGGACAAGTTCTATTGACTCGGGCTAAAGGTTCGTGTGCTCAACCCCGCATGGCGCACGAGAATAGTAGCTGATCAGCTTTACACAGAACTCTGTCGTACATCGGAGGATCTCACCCCTGAAGACCGGGCTGCCGAGCTTCTTCCGATTGCCGTGCAGCAGTTGTACGTCTTGCTTCGCCAAGGAAAGTCGGAGGAAGCACAGTCCGTCTTGGAGGAAATTTCCGTCAGCGAGTATGTTTGTCACAGAACCCTGGCTGAACTTGAACATCGGAAGCTCACATAAACCAATAGTATTCCCGAGCTCTCGACGAAGAAGATCGCTCAGACCAACATTACGCTTGCCCGTGGCACCACCACTACCAATCCCTTCGCTCTGTACAAGGCTCTTCACGAGATCCCCGAATCCACCGACAGCGACAAGCTCTTCGAATACCAAGATAACCTCGCGACGGGAAACTCATACTCGGCCGACCTCCTCGTTCAGAAATACGATGGCATCATCCGCTCCACCTCTAAGGCGCTCGCTCAATCTGGCTACCCCTCGACGGAACCTCGTGCCAATCTGCTTTCAGTCTACAATGCTGCCGCTCATGCACGTGGAGAAACAGGCACCAAGGCCCTGAAGCGGATACTATCTGCGCTCGACAGACGGCCCAAGGACCTTGGCCTTGCCCTGACAGCCGTCCAGCTCTACGTGGTTGCGGGCAACACGACGTCCGCAATCACAACACTAGAGCGAACCTTCCAACTGCTCGACGAGTCCATCTCCGAGCAAGACAAAGCAGTCCGCTTCAACCCCGGCCTCTTGAGCATCCTCGTCTCCCTCTACAAGTTGGAGGGCCGTAAAGTCCAGATCCGGACCGAACTCGCCAAAGCCGCAACCTACTGGCAGAGCCAATCAGCCGAGCCACCAGCCTCCTTGCTCCGCGCCGCAGGGGCATCCCTCCTGCACTCCTCCGATCGCTCCGACCTCGCCAAAGCCGGCGACCTCTTCAAGTCCCTCTACCAGAAAGACTCGACCGACCAGTTCGCCGTAGCCGGCTACGTCGCCTCCCAGGCAACCATCGACTATTCCAAGGTAGAATCCCAGGTCGACAGTCTCCCCTCCGTCGCGGACCTGATCTCAGGCGTCAACGTCGCCTCCCTCGAAAACGCCGGCATCTCCCCCTCCTCCGCGGCCAACGCCGCCGCCGCCGCCATGGCCGGCGCCCGGAAGAGAAGCGCGAAGGACAAGGAAGACCGCGCAACCAAGCGCGTTCGCAAGGACCGTCTGCCCAAGGACTACGATCCCAGCAAGACACCCGACCCGGAGCGCTGGCTGCCTCTTCGCGATCGGTCTTCGTACCGCCCCAAGGGCCGCAAGGGTAAGCAGCGCGCTGCGGAGCGCACACAGGGTGGTGTGGTGAACGAAAAGGCTGAAGAGTCCCCGGCTCCGCCTACTCAGAAGGCCCAGGGAGGAGGCGGTGGAGGTTCTAGCTCGAAGAAAAATAAGAAGAAGGGCAAGCGGTAGATGCAGTAGATGATAACCACCGCTTTCCTTTATTTCCCCCTTTTCTTTCTCACTTTCCCTCCGTTTCTTGCATCGCATTTGCTGGCAGGATACCAATCTAGATGTTGTTGTTGTTGCATGTTGCAGAGAACGAAGCATGTGGAATGATATTTGATAGTCTCGGGTTGTAGCTAGATAGAGCACACGCTGATGAGTGAACGGCCTCCAATCCTCCATCGTGAGTAGCAATCTGAGCCGTATTATAATCAATGATATGCATGATACATAATAAAAACTGTTCCTTGGATCAACTGCATCCCACTAGACTCCGTGCCGTAGATAGAAACCATAAGCATGATGCACGAGGTAATTAGTATAAATAAAAACAAGACCCCGCCTGGCAAACGCAATAGCAATCTTCCCCACCCTTTCCCTCCACACATGCCCTCCTCCATCATTAGATCACTCGACAGGACAAACAATTCAACCCAACGGAGTCCGAATAGTCCCACACTGGCGATCATACTGCTCGAAGATGGTCTGAAACAGTCTCAGATCCTGAATCGCATCCTTCGCCGTCGTCTTCACAGCCCTATCCTCCGTCAAATACGCATGCAGCGCCTTTAACTCCTCGCGATAGCTCTCCTCCCACGCACTCACCGTCTCCGACCTTTTCATATCCCCATTCTCATCGACAGTCTCGACAACCACCTTCACCCCGTGCCGTCGACCATACGGCAGGCCGTACTGCACGCTCACGGTCTTCGTATCGCCGTAGATGGTTAGATGCGCATCGCATCGAGGCACGGCATCGGTCCCGGTCTCGTACATCAGCGTGAACGCGTGTTCGCTCTTGCCGCCACTGTAATAGTGGAAGACGGCAGAGTAATAGGGTTCGTTGACGGAGATGCTGGACACGGCGTCCGGATAGCCGAGGGTATCGCGCATGAGGCCTAGGTCATGACATCCCAGGGACGCGAGGAACTCGCACAGGGCGACGCGCTCTTTGCTGAGGTCTTGGCCGAGGAAGGCTTCTCCGAGGAGGCCCTGGAGGAGCTGGGGGCGGGTTTTCCCGGTCATGGAGTCAGAGGGGGAAGAAGGGGGTGAAATGGGGAAGGGTTGGCCGTGTCCGTTCACCTCGTTCCAGACTTGCTTGCGCGGGGCGGTGGCCGTGTGTGCGGAACTGGGGCCTGCAATGTTGCGGCATCGCGCGTAGTAGATGCGGTCGAGACTGGCGACTTCTTGTCGGAAGACGGAGGCGATGCTGGGGGCGTAGCGACGAGCGCAGGCGACGAAGACTTTGGCGCCGTTGGGGGCGTGTTTCTCGGCTTCGATGATGCGTTTGGCGCTGGGGATGCTTAGGCTTAGCGGGGTTTCGACCATGACGTGTTTGCCGGAGTGGAGGGCCGCGATGGTGTAGGTCTCGTGGTACTCGTTTGGCATGAAGTTGAGAATTAGGTCGATGGTTGGGTTGCTGAGGATGTCCTCCGGGGTTGGGGCTACTGGGATGGCGGTGCTGGTGCTGGTGCCGTGCTGCTGCTGGTGGTGGTGGTCATGGTCGTTGCAGATGTTGCCGTTGATGTCGGTCTCGTACGACAGGGGCTGCTTGGAGCCATCGTGGATGGCTTGGACCTGGAACGAGGTGGGAAGCGCACGGAGGGCTGGGAGGTAGATGGCTTGGATGGCTTTGGCGCCTTCGTCTGCGGTGAGGATTCCCACGCGCAGGGTGGTTGAGGTTGAGGACATGTTTTAGTTTATTTGGATTCTGGGTTCTGCTGAGACGCGTGATGGTGAGGTTAGTGTTTGTTGTTTCTTTCGTTTGATAGAGAGAGTGATGAGAATGTAAACCACGTACTTGTTTTGTATGTAATAGATTAGTTGTGCTACTTGATGGAGATCAATCGTCAGGGAGGGATAAGAGTGAGGATGAGCTCTGAAGATCGAGCGACGGTGAAGAAAAGAACATGGTCCGAACGTTCGAGGGATGGAATGGACGAGTCTTCCGAAGGGGGAAGTGAGGTGAGCTGGTATGTATGTATGTATGAGGTGCAAAGGGGGTTAACCCGGTAATAATGATACCGACTGGGTGCGCTGCACTCAGTCCCTTGGAAGAAAGTATTTGGCAACACTGAAGTGAGGTGTCTGAGATAAAACAAGGGATAAAGAGTAGCACTGGGGGTGCTTTTTCGAGGGTCCTCAGGGAGAGTTTGTGTTACTGTTCTTCAAACCTGGTCGCAGGGATGTGAAGCTTTTTCTGCACCGGAGATGGCATGCATGACATCAGTGGCCCCCCGTGGAATCTGGTCTTTGTTGCCATCCTGCCCTGTCATCTTCTGTTCTCTGATTTTATGCTTAACGCACTGAAATGCTCTAGAAGGTCTGATAAAAATGTTATTTTAGACTACACCAGGGGTCCTGTTGGTTTGGTCTGTTCCAGCCGAGCTAGTGATGTAGCCCTATTGTTTGGCTGCGCCGATCCGTGCGTTCTGTCTGTGTGTCCCCGATGATGCCTGAGATGAGGGCCCATCGTTGATTCGGCAGATCCTTTACGCTGCAAGCTTATTTCTGACTACTGCATGCAGAGGCGCGGTCGACTATGGCCCCCAATCCCATGACAGCCGTGATTCCGAGCACGAAATGGCGAGGGTCAGCTGGGATGGTGATGGCTTGTTGGGTTTGCTGTGAAGTCAGTCTGCAGTCATATTGAGTTATCATGTGCTGCGCTTGATCCGCTGTGGCTGTGACAACTACCATTATCCATGTGAGGCACAGGTAAATATCGTATACGAACTGTTCTGCTCAAATATGGTGAGAGTGCTTGTCAGCAATTCAGCCTTGCTAGGTTGCAAAAAAATTCATCTAGCCTGATCCTTGAGGCTGGCAGGAAGAACACCAAATGGATGAAATCAGCCCTACGGAATCATCCAGAATGCTTCTGGCGTGCGGGGAACGGGGTGAACGATTGGCTTGTACAGACTTTGACATCAATGCACTCCTGCAGGGTTCCAACAGGCTATAGTACAGTTGTACTGATCTGTAGGTCCCGATACATTTCTTCTTTAGAAACCTCGGGATCACTAGAAATATTTGCGATTATTATGCGATATCCATCGCTACGGTCAATAACTGCCGGTTGCCATCATAGAACGAGTAAGTATCAAGTGAGGGAAAGGGGGCAGCTGGGTATAGCTTCAGGACACAAACCAACAGTGGGTCTAATGTAAGAAGAGGAGGGAGTGGGCCAGTCGTCATCCCGAGGTCGGCTAGTCCCAGTCCAGCTGTTTTAGCACTTTAGCTCTTGCTTGGATGGATCTCTTCACGGGCAGTGCTTTTATAGTGGCAGTGACGCCGTAGTGCCGTCGGTTTTCTGCTCTCCTTCTGACGCCATTCTTTTTCCACCCATCAATCATCCTATTCCCTTCTCCATTTCTCCCCGATCTATTGTTTTCCCCCCCTGACTATACTTCTTTTACTATCTACCTACTGACTACGTAGTTGGACGTCAGCTGCTGTACCAAGATGGGGGTAAGTGCCCAACATATTGCCTTTACAACTGTTGCTCTTTCTTGTTTTTCTTCTCTGCCCCGCGTATCTGCCCCGCTTCACCTCAAAGTGTTTTTGTGTTTCTTCTTTCTCTTGAGACCATAACTCTACTACTACTATACTATATCCCAAGACTACTATTTAGCCTCGAGCAGGCTGCATCGAATACCACCCAACTAACCGCTGCATCCTGCACGTCCTTCTCTTAGTTTGCATCCAAGATCGCCGGCAGTCAAAACCCACCACCCAACAACATGAGCGCAAACAGGCCCGGCGTTTATGGAGGCGCACCTCCGACAGGCTATGCTGGAGGCCCTCCAGCTGCACTGCAGCCTGGCAACAATCCTTCTTCTAGTGGTAATCCTGTGAGTCCCCGCCCTACCGGGCAAAACTAAATCTTTAGTGATCCCCTCCGCCCCTCTTCTCCCGTCCTTCCTTTGAACCGTTCAATTTTATCCCCGGCGTCTTTACCCAGTTCGTTTTCAATTTATCACTGTCCACAAAAAGCTGACGCATCTCTTTGCGACCACTACCAGCAGCAGCAGCAACAACCCCAGTATCAGGCTTATCAAGGCTCCCCTGCGCCATCTGGTGGTCCGGTAAGCTAGAACTTGTTTTTCTCTTTTCTCGTGTCTTATATCTTTCCTCGATTTTCTCCCCCAATTTTCGCTTTCATTCGGTTGGCACTGCCCCTCCTCACTGCTGGGTCACCCTCTCCCTCCCATCGTGAGAGTTACTCTCATCGAATGAAAGAGAGCCAGGGTTCACCTCCCTCTCCACTGTGGCCCCCTTCTGCCCCTCCAACCTTCTCTTCGCGCCCGTGTCACACTTCTGCTTTTCTATTTCTTGCCCTCCTCGCCCGTTTGCTGGAAAATCTGGACGCCATCTTCAAGTATGTCGCGACCTTATTATAACCAATACGGCTATCCGCCTCAGCTACGCCCGGGTTCGGCCCAGCAATCCCCATATCCGACTTCGCCGCCCCCGCAGCAGCAGCCTCAGTATCAAGCCTACGCGCCTTCGTCGGCCCCTCCAAACAAGCCGGTTCCCTCGCCATCGCCGGGTCCGCACCCAGCTTATTCGGGTTCTCAATCGCCCTATCCAGGCTCTCAACCGTCTTACGCGGCGCCCGCTTATCCGTCGGCATATCCGGCTCCTCAGGCTCACTCCCCGTCGCCCTATGGGTCTCAGGCACCACCACCGCCGCAGGGCTATTCGCAACCACCTCCATATGGTACTAGGGAGCCTCCATCCGGACAATATGGACAATCACAGCAGGGCTATAACAGACCCCCGCCTCCCCCGCCACAAACTCAGCCCTATGGAGCTCCTGGACCGCAGTATCCTCCACAGCAAGCCTCTCAAGTACATACTACATCCCAGATACCCGCATTTGTTTGCCCTTGATCTGCAGTCGTGTTTCTCGCGTATTTGCTTGGTTTTGACTAGTGTGACCGAGAAGCTAATGTGTTTCAATGGTCTAGGGCCCCTCCTACCCCCCGCAGAATGCACCTTACCCCGGCGGACCTGGTGGACCGGGAGCGCCTTACGGTGCCCCTGGAGGTGCTCCTCCCGCCGCCCGCGCATCCGACCAGCAGATCGCTGCCTACAGACAACTCTTGATCGGAACTATCCAGGAGAAACGACTCCAGAGCTTCTGGCCCCCCGAGAGACTGGATCGATTGGTTCAGACGCTGGCCAACGAGGCCCCAGGAAAGGTCAACAAGCTGATGCACGAACTCCGTGTGCCCCAAGAGGTGGCTATGGACATTATGAAACTGTCTCTGTTCGACGTCATCCTCTATGTTGATGACAGCGGCTCCATCGAATTCGAAGAGCGCGGCGTCAGAAAGGAGCAGCTGGTGCAGATTATTGAAATTGTTGCTGCTGCGGCGTCTACTTTCGATGAAGATGGCATCTCGGTACGGTTTATGAACAATGCGGAGCAGGGAGATGGGATCCGCAACGCCGAGGATGTTGGCCGCCTTGTTTCGCGCGTCCGCTTCCAAGGCCTTACTCCCCTGGGAACCGGCTTGCGCAACAAGGTTCTCGATCCCATGGTTGTGGGCCCGGCCAGAGCAGGTCGCCTGCAGAAGCCAGTTCTTGTCATTACCATCACGGATGGACAACCCGCCGGAGAGCCTCTTGATAGCGTCTCTAGCTCTATCGGCTACGCCGTGAGCGAGGTCGCTCGGACTCAATATGGACAGGGTGCCGTTTCGTTCCAATTCTCGCAGGTGGGCAATGACACCAAGGCTCGGGATTTCCTTGCCTCGCTGGACGAAGACCCGAGAATTGGCTCGTTGATTGATTGCACTTCCAGTAAGTCCACTTACGCTAGTAGAGCCCTTCGAGCATAACAGGTTTACTGATGTTGTCAACAGACTTTGAGGTCGAACAGGATGAAATGTCACGCGCTGTGCCACCCGTGTACTTGACTCGTGAACTCTGGGTATGTTCCAATTCACACATCACACTGCAATATATTAACTTTTCTAGTGCGCTAAATTGATGCTTGGGGCTATTGATTCCTCGTACGACACCAAAGATGAGAAGGCTGCTGGCGGAGCCGGTGGACCCGGTGCTCCCCCGTCGGGACCTCCCTCTGGGCCTCCTTCTGGACCTCCTGGAGGAGCGCCCCGGGGTGGACAGTACGGTGGTGGCTACAGTCAACCCGGATATCCCCCTGCTCCCAGCTACGGTCAACCTCAGCAGGGCTACGGCGCTAACCCAGGCTATGGCCAGGGATACGGCCAAACCCCCTACCAGAGCCAGGGTCAGGCCCCAGCACCGGGATATGGCCAGCAATACGGTGGTGGATATGGTGCACCCTCTCCTCACCCCAACCAGCCTGGATATGGACAGTCCTCTGGAGCGCCACGAGGCTACTCCCCCTACCAGGCACCCCAGCCGCCCAGGTACTGATAGACCACGTTCGCTTGTCCTATGAGACGGAATTGCAGGGCAGGGGCGCAAATGTGAACCCTCTTCTTATTCTTAATGATTGTTGTTATTCTTCGGACGTTAGCAAGCAGATTTTCGTAGGCGGGAGAACATGGCTGGCATGGCAGGCTAGGAGAAGGGCAAGGATAGACCCAGTTACATGATTAGCTAGCTTATTTGTAAAGCAAAATTGGGCAATGGGATAATGATACTTCCGTGACCACACTCATATGACTCTCATCGATCATTGACTGACATGGGATTGGCATGGACCAGTGTTGCGATCTTCAAAATCTCCCTCCCAACGACGTCATCTCTCAGCAGGCCCGCCCCGCAGCCATCACGTGCGCTCACCAATCACCTTGTGCGCTGAGTCTGAGGCATAGTACCCACCAATTCAGGCATACAACATCGGGACAGCGCTTGCATAGTATGACCATTGTCAATGCTGGATACGGAAAAAAAAATAACTTCCATGAGTAACATAATCACGTTATGCTACTGCCTGATATCTATCTTCCTCTATAACATCCTCCATCTTACACACTCTCTCATTAGGAAATGGAATATGATTTTAATTCATGGAACTATCATCCATCAAGCGGGCCATATTGTTTCCCCGTATGTATAAAGCAATCAAGGAAGTTGTATGACAGACAGACAGACATACAGACAGATATGTTAGGCAGCCCTTAAAAGAAAGTTATCATGTGAACAAGTATCGCCAACAATTTCCAGGCCCAGTGACCCTCTTTTTATGTTAGCAGTCAATCCATCAATGACATCGGCCCCGAAGCTGTCGAGTGTGAATGTCTCATTTGAGTTCATGATGATATGCTTCATATTCTCAAGTTCGTCTTGTTGAAAAATGTGGCCAGCTCTTGCACTTTCTGTGTGGACGCCGGATTGCTCATGATCAATTTTCAGAAGGACACGAACACAAAACTCGATGGACTCCTGAACCTCTTTTTCAGCAATTTTCCATTCGCGTCGACTGTTCCTTGGATTACTAGATAGTGTAGACTTAGCTAAGAACCTCCCATAGGGGACTGATCAGCCAGATGACCTACTCGGCCGGATTATGTCAAATGCTCGATCAAAGCTGTTCTCACCGAGCTCATTAAGTACAGGACGGTCCTTGTGGACCATTTGGGCATATGCACTGCTCACAACCAGCAAAAAGCGTGTGTACGCGTCGCGAACTTTCTCGGAGTGCCACTTACCGGCAGCCTGCTCGCTGCATTGGCCTTTCATGGACGCGCAGATTGTGGCCGCCGCAGACAGAGCCCCAAGAAGAGCAAGGTAAACGCCAGATGAGAAAAGCGGGTCGATGAAGCACCCAGCGTCTCCAATTATGCGCACATTGGCAGCCGCATAAGATGACGCATTGTACGACCAATCCGACGCGGATCTGACCTCGGAGACGAGCTCCGCACCTTCTATCAGGTCCATAATCCCAGACACTTCGTGCAGACAGCTCAGAAAGTAGTCTTTGGATGATGGCGATCCCATTGCTTGCTTTTTCGCCTTGACACTGTTCTGGTGTTGAACAACACCAACGGAGGTTGTTCTGTTGTGAAGGGGAATCCGCCAGGTCCAGCCGGATGCGTCTGCATCATTGATTAGTCTCTGTTTGCTTGGGCTGGTCCAATTAAAAGGCCGATGAATTACCTTCGAGGCGACTGAAGTAGGGAGAGCCTTCCATAGAGGTGCCTACACCATATGTTGCAGCATTTTTGAAGTAGCCCCATATGGCCGTGTTTTTCAGCCCTTCGTTGTACCGTCGATCTTTCAAATACTTCGTGCTCATTAATCCGGCTCGCCCGCTTGCGTCCACCAGATATTCAAATTGGATGCTCCCGGTGCCTTTGTCTCTTCGTGTCCAAGATGCAGACTCGGGGAAGCCAACGTTGCCGTTTACTGACGGCTCAGTCGCTCGAAACTCTAAGGAAGTGACCTTCACGCCATCAAAAGTTTTGCAACCGCACTCTCCGGCATAATGGAACAGTATGCTGTCTGCCTCGGATCGTAACACATTCCAAGTGTAGTTATGAGGGCCTCCGGCCTTGAGAAAATCGGTATCTAATTGCCCTTTAGAAAGACGCCTTGTCGGGGGTGGTGTAACAACATACATCCTGGTAGCTTGCTGTTGAACTTAAACGCTGCCCCCTTCTACGCAGGAGTCAACTAGTCACTAGACAGAGTCATCAGACGACATAGTCTTACTTTCATGTTAAATCCATGAGCTTCGAATTCAGGCAATGCACCGTTGAATTCTAAGAAATGCCTCAGAGATGGCAGCATGCTTTCTCCAATGTGGTATCTACGACGAGACAGTCAGAAGTAGGCCTTTAAAGTGAAAGGGGAGCTTTGAAAAGCTGAATCTCGATTGACCTTGGGAAAACATCGGCTTCCAACAATACGGTATCAATTCCTTCTCTGGCAAGCACAGATGCGGCATATGATCCTCCTGGGCCACCGCCGACCACGAGAACGGTGCATTCCGCTGGTATAGACATATTACTGGCTTCCAGGTCGGCTATATCAATAGGGCCAAGATACTAAAAGACGATGTGGCGTAGTGAGAAAAAATGGATTCTAGTAAAGTAGAAACCGGTAATCATATTCGTGGAGATAAGTTGAGGCATTATATCATGCAGCGATATGTGGTCTATTATACTTGAACCATGATTGATTTTGCACTACAATAAACGATTCCTTTGCAAATTGACCTTTCATTTCCTGCAAGGTAGATGTAAGGGCTACTATTCTTACAACACTTGCAATAGCCATGAGTCATGGTATATCCTAGGACATCTCTCTGCTAGATAAGGTTGCTGCTTGTAAAGGATCGGGGAACTAAGGAATGGTATGGTTGTATGGCTTATGATATTTATAGGTACTAAATGTGTCGGTAGGTGATCTAAGAACAACAGTATGTTGATGGTGATATCATGAAGTATGAAGGCTGTCTTAAGTTATAGAAAAGAATGAACTCTCTATATATATAATGCGCTGTGACCTCAACAGCTGCCAGTAGGTTGATCTATGAATATGCTCTTGTAATTACCTTTATGTAAGACGGTAGTTTCTTCAAAGAGAAAGCTGCATTAGAAGTTAATGTTTCTATCCTCTTCCAAACATGGGTTAATAGAATGTTTCAGTCTACTTGGTCACGGTTCGACAGTTCCATGATGCCTATCATGTCCCCTATAGGTTCTTGGGAATGTAGATGCCTTGCGTTTGGTGCTACCTGAAAATCACGAGTTACTATGAGGCACATCTACCCACTAATAGGTAAGCGGTCTGGGGTGGTTTGTACAACTTGATGGACTTGTTGGAGGGGTGGGGCAGAGGGATTATCATCGTCTTCAATTGTCTGGTTCTCAAATAGTCATTCTTTCCTTTCATGTGCATGAATATGACGGTGAGCGAATACATTCAAGTAATGTAAAAAGCCGAAGAATCAATGTCCCGACTTGGAGCATTAGCGCAGTCGTTGTGTACTTCTTTACATCATCTTCTTTCTTAATTCCGAGGTCTCTGGGATATGGATGGAAGGGGAAGCGAATCATCCAATTAATCGAATAAGATTCGCATCATTTCTGGGACTATTGTATCGAGCGATACTGAAATATCATCCATATGGCAGTCATATATATGGTCTACATCATCTATATCACTCTGTTCTCTCTCTCCTCACGTCTTCTTCGCGGTATACTGACAAGGGTGGCTGACTGCAACACCGATCTACTTGCAGTGCGTAGATGCAGGAAGACTAAACCATACACTATGAAGAACTTCATGTGAGGCAAGTTCGTCGAGTGACAGGTACTCCAGCATCCCTAGCAAGGTATGTTGTGGCCACATCTTCTTAATATAACCTTTAGAAGGATAGTGTCACTCTGTGTATCGCATTTCATTCTTCTATACCAATGAATGGATACAATTCCTACTATCTGAGCAGGCTCACTGATGGTGAACATATCGATCATGTAAGCATTGCACTGGTCGCCTTGCATACACAATCTGTAATAGAGCAATTCATAGTCTGATAGACTGATGGAGCGCCTGAAGGATATGAAGTAGCCTGATTAGTATCTTACGATCGGTTGAACCCTAGAAAGACTGTTGCATCGAGCTTCAAGCTAACGGAAGGTCTAATTTGATGGAAGTGTCGGAACGATGACTATTAGAATAGAACTGATAGTCTTCATCATCATGACTGACTATAGTATTGGCAGTTACTGCAGCAGGCAGCCAAATAAACAGGGTGAGAGATTAGGACGAAGTAGATGGATAAGAATAGATAGGCTACCATGAATTAGAAACCTAAAGAAAAGTGCCAGGCAATGAGATGAGCTGTAAGAAGCAGGCGGTCAGTAGTGGCAGGTCGGGACCCTGTCAAAGCAACTGCTTATCCATGGTAGAGTGGATGTTGAATGGAAAAGAATTGGAAATGTGGCAAATCGGACTGCTTGACCGTTGAATCCACCACCACACACACTTACGTACACTGGAGTACTAGTGCCAGTGGCGTGATAAGTAGGGAAAGCAATCAGATCAAAGCCCTGTCAATGGCGGGGATTAACCAAGTTTCTTTAAGTGACAGGGGTTCTTCCGCCACTGAAAGGTTATTCCGAGAAGACCACGGACAGTGTGCAGTGCGTCTGTATGTGAAGACAGGGTGTTACAGTAGTAATCATCTAATGTAATCCAAGACAAGACATACAAAGTCGAAGATCTGATCGCAATGTTACTTTTTGTGTAGGAGGTGATGAACCCTGGAAATCGACGAGGGGCAGTGCAGTCAGAAAAGGCCTAAAAGAACTTGAACGAGAGGAGGGTTTGCGTGGCCCCCAAGCCACGTTCAAAGCCGACGGCGACCGATGAGTGGCCCGCCGCCAATTAAGGTGCCTCCGCAAATTCCCCATCGGGTTCCAGTTTTGGGTTCAGGCCTTCATTCGAGACTCCCTTTTTTGCCTTCTGGCTCGCCTTCTCGACGGCTCTTCTTCTTCTGGTTCTGGTTCTTGTTCCTCTCCCACTTGAAGTTAGTCCGGTTTCCCAAAAGAGCTTACCCTTTCCTCTTCCTCGTCCTCTTCCTCTTTTCTTTTTGACGCTTCTATGCTCTACTCTGCTCTTGCATTTGCAGTCATTCTTTTCCCTGCTTGCATCCAGCCAGTCTTTAATCAAAATTAAAAATCCGGCTGCAGTCAAGTGGCGGCGGCTCTATTGTTATTTCGGCCGTCTTACCGCTTCCGGCTGCCTCATTTCGTATTCGCTGCAGCTGAACAAAACAGAATCAGGACAGCCTGAACTCACTTGGTTGGTCTCTCTTTCTCTTTTGCTCGCCGCCTGCGGAAAAAGAAGTTCCTCTTGACGTCTTTCCCATATCCTTGTCTCTTCTCAACTCTCCGCGTGGCCTTTTCCTTCCCCTCTTTACCCCCCCATCTCCCTCTCCACCCTCTTGTCCATTCTTGTTCCTTCTGTTAATTCGGTGGAACTCGCTCCCCACAGTCGTTTCCGCCTGTTTCACTTCCAGCCATCTGCCATCATCGTCTTGGCTTTCGCTCCGGTTCACCTCCCTATCGCTGTGACGAACCTTCTCCTTTTCCAGTCTACCTCTGCGCGAGTCGCTTGTACGATATCCATCGGTGGTTTGCTTTCGGGGGGCTCTCATATGCTGGCATAAACGAGTCCGTTGTCTTTGACTGGTTTTGAGGCTCGAAGCATGAGTCAGGCCTTTCGTCATACAGGAGATACGACTACGACCGATTCGCCCTTTGATTATTTACCTTCTACCTCGAGATTCGAAGTGAATTGATAGAAACGCAAGGAGACGGATATTGTGGCATTCACATCACTGTGGACATTTGCGATCCCGCCATGTCCCAACATGATGATGTACCCGAGTCCAATCACGGTCCGCAGGAAAGCACGTCGGCGGAACATACAACCGGAGGAAATGGCGGCTCGACTCCAGTACCGCAACTGCCACGGAGCCAGTCCTTGGATATAAATCGTGCTCGAGGCGGTGCAGTCCCCGGCCGACCGTCCCTCTCTCCATCTCGAACCGTGTCGGATGCTGGCCGAAGATCATCGCAACATCATGTCCGTTTTTCGACCGACTTGGAGCGTCCGGCCCCGGAGGAAGTTCGAGGTTCGGACGCCGACCGACGGCCCGCGTCCAGAGGGTTAACAATCAACACAAATCTCGCTCAATTGCAGGTGCCTTCATCGGGCAGGTCCCCAGGACATAGCGCAACCTCGCCTTTGTCGCCCAATTCGACATTGTCCCCTCCCTCCCCACAGAGTCCGGAATCCGGCGGTCGTTCAAGATCGCGTCATCGTGGATATTCGCTGCGACGGACAATCTTCGCAAAGAATATTGAGTCCGCTGTTACGTCCCCGGGTGCGATCGAGCTGGGCCAAGCCCAGGCTGTTAGCCCACAGGAAGGCGCTTCTGCTGATGTTTCCGAGCGGAAATCGGAGGAGGTGCCGCGTCAGTCCACTGAAGATGAGAAGCAAGACGTTCTAGTAACGCAAAAATCCGCATCCGATCCGAACCTGGACTTGTCGACAACGTATTACTCAGAGTCTTCAGATAACCCCAAACACAGCAGGCACCTCTCCACAAGTGTCTCCTATGAGAAATGGCTCAAGCGGAGGGCTGTCATTGCCACGCTGATGCTTCGTCTGGAGGACATGCTCGAGACGGCACGTAAAACCATCCTTCGTATTAAGGACATTCCGCCCAGCAAAGACGGTCGGCACATTGACCTTGACGCGACTCGCACCGAAGCGCTCGTCGATGAGAGAACCGGAAACCCCTATGTCGGAAACTCCATCCGTTCCAGTCGTTACAGCTTTTGGAGTTTCTTTCCCCGCCAACTGTTCGCGCAGTTTACGAAGCTGGCCAACTTCTATTTCCTTATTGTTGCGATCCTACAGATGATTCCTGGTCTGAGTACCACCGGTTCATTTACCACACTCGTGCCGCTGTTGATCTTCGTTGCTATTTCAATGGGCAAAGAAGGCTTCGATGATTGGCGTCGCTATCGCTTAGACAAGGAAGAAAATAACCGTTATGCATTTGTCCTTCGCCCTGGTGCAGGTATCCCTCCCCAGATGTGCGCTAGCGACAGCATGTCCGTTTCAAGTGAGTCTCAGGACTGGGTCCCAGTGAAGTGGAGAGATATCAAAGTTGGCGACGTCATCCGATTGGAGCGTGATCAGCCTGTACCGGCAGATATGGTCCTGCTTCATGCTGACGGGCCAAACGGTATCGCGTATATCGAAACCATGGCTCTGGACGGTGAGACAAATCTAAAGAACAAACAGCCTGCTCAGCCTATCGCAAAAGTCTGTGGGACGGTTGAGGGCATTTGTAGCAGTGCTTTGCATTTCGCCGTCGAGGACCCCAACATGGACCTTTACAAATTTGACGGGAATGTGACCATCGCCGCGGAAGAGAAACTTCCATTGACCAACAATGAGATCGTATACCGCGGTAGTATTCTGCGCAATACCGAATGTGCGTATGGCATGGTCATCTATACCGGCGAGGAGTGTAAGATTCGGATGAACGCAAACAAGAACCCTCGCATCAAGTCGCCCTCTCTCCAGGCCAAGGTCAACCGGGTTGTTATGCTGATCGTGCTCCTTGTCGTTTGCTTGTCGGTAGGATGCACTCTCGCTTACAAGTTTTGGTTTCATCAGCAAGTCGAGCCCAAGGCATGGTATCTCACTCAGGCGAGTGTAGCCATCGGGCCTATTTTCACCTCCTTCCTGATCATGTTCAATACGATGATTCCCATCTCGCTATACGTGAGTATGGAAATTGTCAAGGTCGCGCAGATGCTCCTGCTGAATTCCGACATCGACATGTATGACCCCGAGACTGACACTCCGATCGAAGCTCGCACGTCCACCATCAACGAGGAACTGGGCCAAGTCAGCTATGTATTTTCGGATAAGACCGGTACCTTGACCAACAATTCGATGCGCTTCCGCAAGATGAGTGTTGCCGGCACTGCATGGTACCATGACTTTGATCTTGTCGAAGAGGCGGCCAAGGCCGGTGATCATACGAAATTGATCCACAAGAAACGCAGCGCAAAAGGAAAGAAGGCGCTCAGCCGCAAGTCAAACGTTTCGGAGGCGCGGAGAGAGCCTCCCCGAACCTCGATGTCCATGACGAACGGCTTGGACGGACGTAACGCCTCTATGCGCAACAACCGTACCACCGATATGATCAAATATATTCAGCGCAAGCCTTACACCGTCTTTGCCCGCAAGGCCAAGATGTTCATCTTGGCCATGGCGTTGTGTCACACTTGTATCCCGGAAGATGACGAGTTTGGCAATGTCTCGTTCCAGGCAGCATCGCCCGATGAGTTGGCCTTGGTTATGGCCGCTCAGGAGCTTGGCTACCTCGTTCGCGACCGGCAGCCAAATACCCTTACCATTCGGACCTATCCCAACGGACCCGATGACAAGCCTTGCGATGAGGTATATCAGATCATGGATGTTATCGAGTTCTCAAGCGCTCGTAAACGTATGTCGGTTGTGGTGCGGATGCCTGACCAACGCATTTGCGTGTTCTGCAAGGGCGCTGATAGCATTCTGATGCGATTGCTGAAACGTGCCGAGCTCGCGCAGGAGAAGGCCGTGGAGATTGAGAGGCGCGCCAGCAAACGCAAGGCGGCCGAGGCTGCCCAGGTCGTGAGGCGCAACAGCGAGTATCACAGTCGTAAGGATAGCGGGCTTCGGACCAGTTTTGGCCGGCCTAGCATGGCCCGCCGGCGATCAAGTATTACCGGCGACCACGTATCGGCTCTAAGAGAAAGCATCGACGTTTGGCTGCGCGACCGGGAGACCGATGGTGGAATCTTGACGCGAGGGGACGATCCTGAGTATTACAGTCCTCGCCCCTCTGCCCAATTGGGACGCGCTTCGAGCACTTGGTCGGATTCTGGAAGCTCCATCCACGAGAATGAGGAGGAAGAGCTTGTGGAGGAGGCTTTGGTTGTAAACGAGGCTGCCGTGTTCGAGCGGTGCTTCCAGCATCTCAACGACTTTGCGACAGAGGGGTTGCGTACGCTCCTGTATGGGCACCGCTTCCTTGACGAAGCTGCCTACAACAACTGGAAGGCTGCCTATCACGAAGCCTCCACTAGCCTTGTTGACAGACAGGAGAAGATCGAACAGGTTGGTGAACAAATCGAGCAACAGCTCGAGTTGACTGGCGCAACGGCCATCGAAGACAAGCTGCAGAAGGGCGTTCCCGAGGCGATCGACAAGCTGCGCCGTGCGAACATCAAGATGTGGATGCTGACTGGCGACAAGCGAGAGACCGCCATCAACATCGGTCACTCCTGCCGTCTGGTAAAGGATTACTCGACCCTTATCATTCTGGATCATGAGACTGGAGAGGTCGAGCAGTCAATTGTTAAATTGACAGCCGACATCACCAAGGGCGGCGTGGCTCATTCGGTTGTTGTAGTTGATGGGCAGACACTATCCATAATCGAGTCAGACCAAATCCTGGCGGCACAGTTTTTCAGGCTGGCCGTGCTAGTTGATTCGGTTATCTGCTGCCGTGCCAGTCCTAAGCAGAAAGCCTTCCTGGTCAAGTCAATCCGTCAACAAGTCAAGGGTAGCGTGACCCTGGCGATTGGTGATGGTGCGAACGATATTGCCATGATCCAGGAAGCTCACGTTGGCATCGGCATTACTGGCAAGGAGGGATTGCAGGCGGCCCGAATCTCGGATTATTCGATTGCCCAGTTCAGGTTCTTGCTGAAGTTGCTCCTTGTCCACGGTCGGTGGAACTATATTCGGGCGTGCAAGTACACGCTCGGGACATTTTGGAAGGAGATGCTGTTTTACTTGACGCAGGCTCTGTACCAGCGCTGGAACGGGTACACTGGCACCAGTATTTATGAGTCGTGGAGTTTGAGTATGTTCAACACTCTCTTCACGTCTCTGGCCGTTATCTTCCTTGGCATCTTTACCAAAGACCTCTCTGCTTCCACCCTCCTAGCTGTCCCAGAGTTATATACCAAAGGGCAGCGCAACGGCGGGTTCAACATTCGGCTGTATTTAGGCTGGACGTTCATGGCTGCATGTGAGGCCATGATGATCTATTTCTGCATGTTTGGGCTGTTTGAAAATGTCATGTTCACGCACACAGGCAGTGACATTTTTTCAGCCGGTCTGCTCTCATTCACGGCCTGTGTTATCGTCATCAACACCAAGCTACAGGCCCTCGAGGTGCACAACAAGACGTATCTGTGCTTAGTTGTGTGGATCATTTCCGTTGGTGGTTGGTTCTGTTGGAACTTGATCCTCGATCGCCGGTACAACCCCAGCTCTGGCGACGGGATCTACCATGTTCTGGGTAACTTTGTCTATGCATCGGGCCACGACCTCGCTTTTTGGGCAGCTTTGCTTGTCACCGTCATCGCAGTGATCGTGTTCGAAATGACCGTGAGTTCCGTCCGGGCGCTCTTTTTCCCTACGGACGTGGACGTCTTCCAGGAATATGAGCAGGACTTGGACATTCGAAGACGGTTTGAGGAAGCCGCTGCATCTGAGCTGCAACAAGGCTGGGATCACGGCAAGAAGAAATCCAGCTTTGAGCTGGCTCGCGAGGAAGAGATGGAAGTGCGCGAACAACAGGTTCGGGAACTTCTTGCTCGGCCACGAGTGATGGTGACCGGTAGCAAGACAGGCTCTGGCCCTGTTGAGATGGAAGATGTTGAACTGGGCGGATACGGCACCAGCACTCCTCCGGAGGGTGAAGAGGTGCCCAAGACTCCCCGCCGGTCCGTTGAGGTTCATGAGTTGTTTACGAAGGGATTCGGAGCCATCCGAAAGGGGCATTTGAAGTGAATGATGATGGAAGAAAACAAAAAAGCATCTCTTCGTGTCTGTTTGTTGTATGAGTGCCTTCACTCCTTTGATTTGTGAGCGTTCAGGCGTTTCGAGTGGATACCCCGGATAAGTTCTAGTCACTCCTTCTCTGTTATTTTTCTGATCAGTGTGTATACTGGTTGTATATATGCATGGAAAGCAAATAGATTATGAACGTGGACAAACGCGCAACGTTTACATGGAGCAGTGAAACAGATGAAAAGAAAGAGTATTGCTTGTAAGAAGTAGGCTAAGCTTGACAGCTCCGGAGCACCCGGAAGCGAGGATGAGGGGCGCTCCAGTTTCCCCTGAGTGGATCCCCAATTTCCCCGGGTATATCGGATTTAGCACTCCGGGGGAGTGCATAGGTTGGGTTGGAATAGTAATGCAGTGGAGGGGATTCATAAGCTGCATAGTTAATTGATCCGCCGACATACCAGTATCAGTTAGTTGACTACCAAATAAATATGATGGAATGACTAACGGTTTCTGTGTTAGGGTGTGCTGTTTGGTGAGTATCCCTGTATGTGATTGACTACTTGATATTCACACAGAGAAGCCTACATTCCATGAATTGAGGGATGCTTATATAGTTGCCATAGGTCGATGATTTAAGTCATAGAAGGGTGAAGTAAAAGTATCTACATCAACATATGCGGACGCTTTTATGATACTATAGGATTCTGCCGATTGTTGGTGATACCTAGAAACTAGGGCAGTTACTTACAAGATCGATATCCATCTATTACTAAATGAAAACTTCATGGCAACAAAGATCACTAGATGTGGATTCTTCTCAACATTGTATGCCTATATCACCAGTCACGGGTTAACCTACTAACCTTCACGCACCTATTCAGGTCCCGTGAGGTGCCCTAAGATGAATCACTCTCTACATGAGTGTCACTAACAACACTCTCATCAACATGGCAATTCCCTATTCCAAAGCCCTTGGTATTTCCCATGAATCCAATACCCTCACGCTAGGAAACTACCATGCCATTCATCAAAGAGCATACGTACTACTATATAGCCACGAAGTATGCCAACTTTTCCGCTTTCTTACTCTGTGCTATCCCCATCCCCCATCTAATTACATTTCAGTTAATATGTCCTCCCCAATGGACCTCTCTCACCCCCTACCCACCCCCTACCCCAAAAAATCCCTCTACGACCCTCCCATCCGCATCCTCGTCGACACCCGCATCCACCTCCTCCAAGGAGACACCAACGAAGAGCGCAACACCTTCCTCATCAACCACATCTGCCACCTACACTGGCACACCGAATTCATCCCCTCCAAGCACCGCCGCTACGCCTTCAGCACCGAGCGTTTCCCCATTGAGTCTACCCGCTGCCTGTTTCTTGTTGATTGCGGCCAGACCGCAAGCAAGGAGGATGATGAGGATGTTCCTGTGGTGTATTATAAGTGGACGGGGGAGATTTTGTAAGATCTACACGTTATACCTATACCTATCCAGTACTCAATCTTTGATACTATTCAGTAGTAGGTTGGTGGATGATTGCTGATATATGACTGTGATGGTATATAGGACCCCCCTACCCATCCTATCCTACGAAGCCTGGATCAAGAATAAACTCAAATACGTGTATCCGTTTACTCCTGCGCCGAACTGGCAGAATGGCGTTAATCGCGATCGAGAGCGAGAGATGCTTTTGTCCAAGGTGTTGTGGGCGAGTAGTAGTGGTGGGGCGACGGATGATGATTTGAGGGCTTTGAGGGATAATGAGGAGGATTGGGCGTGGTTGAAGGCGAGTTTGGATCCGGAAGCTTTTGGCGGGTTTTTGTATGAGGCGAGGAGGAGGATTTATTAGGATTTTTGTTGTTGATTTTGGGTGGTTTGGGTGCGCTGGTATGTTTCTTGGGGTTAAGTTTTGTTGGGTTTTTGGGTTACTTATGAGTAGTAACTGAATAATAATACAGCAGCAGAAGATCATAATGGTATCAGTTATATAAGTATCAGGGTTCGCTTTGGGGAGTATTCGGGTAGAAGAAAAGGAATGATATGGTTGATTACCGGTACTATCTAAATAAGTTGTCGAAGCGCATCATATCGGTTCAAAATGGAAGGGAGGTATGGCATTCCTATATATTGTAATTACATGATAGTAGTCCGTGATTAAGTGTAAACATTGAATGAAGTTCTGCCGTCTCATCATAACATTGTCAAGCAGGGCCCTGAGCTCTTGTTTCTCCCGTCACCACCACCACCGCCTCCTATCCCACAAAGACTTGTCAACATTGACTCCAGCGACTACAACTCTCCATTATTGGTCAAATAACGATGGGGTATCATATATCCTTCAGTCTTTCTACATGTCGTCCAGCTTATATATGTTTCTGTCATCAGTACTGAGAGCAGTAAGACTCACTCATGACCTTTGTCCAGTCCCCCATCAGAGGCTCTGACCCCGTATCCCCTGCTGGTACTTGGGTCACCCTTGCAGCTCGTACGCAGGAGGCCGCTTCTCTGTGACTGGTAACTCTGCCGGCATACGTTGCTGACCATCCCAAAAGCTCTGAGAGTAAATCCGAGCCTTTCTACGTCGCCGCATGAAATAGTATGCGCCTAGAAGAATGCCTGCTAGAGCTGCAACACCAACACCGACTCCCACGCCGATACCAACAGTGTTTGTATTCGATGATTGGCTTTCAGGTTCCGGAGACGAAGAAACCGATGCGGAAACGGAAGCAGGTGACAAAGACGTGGTTGAAGTTTGACTTGCTGTGCCTGTTGCCGTGTTGGTTGCATCGGTTGTCGAAGTGCTTGCAGGACGGACATAAAAGTCTGGGCTCCAGGCTTGCCAACCGAACAAGGCAATCCCATCCGCACCAAGAAGAACGGATGCGTTGAAAAGTCCGATCTGATACTCTGGATTAGTCGTGTTGAACTCTTTCGGAATCGCCCAGCTGTATTCTTCCAGGGTACAGTTCGCGGTTTTGTTGACAACAAGTTGGTAGAGAGCACTCGTCTCGGTGAACTGGGCGCCAACTAAATAATCGCGTGGGTTAGTTTCTATTAGGCGGACTTGTGAACCCAGCTACATACCAATTATCGGATCAACGATGTATCCTCCAGCCCGCCCTAGGGTGATGTTGAGTGGAGTTGCCCCATCGTCGATCGCTCCCCACTGCAGGTTGAGCGTGTCTCCGGGGTTGAATTCAGTTTTCGTGAAACCGTAGAATGTCCCCGACACGCAGTTCTCATAACCATAGGTGGACATGGCGAGAGCCCACAGCGGGATGTTGATCAGGTCAAACGCTGGATTGGGGCTTAGTCGGCATAGGGGAGGGAATCGGGAGAATACCAAGCTCATAAGACCTCAAGATCACCCCCCATGGGAACAGAGAGGGATACTACTTCGGACTATTATCATCCAAGCTGGCACCGTATAAAGTTCGGTGGTCGACTAACGGGAGCCTCCAGGCGGTTATTCTTATCGACGAATAGAACGCTCAAATTCGAGTAATGACCCCTGACCTGCGTGACGTGGGCTTCATATACGAAATCAGCCTTGCAAACCCAAACGAGGAAGGATTGCTGGCTTAACTGCACGGCCAATGCCCGTCTCTCTCTACACGCCGTGAGCCCTAAAATTACTCCTGTGGCTAAAGGGCACATTAATTCTTTGTTGAGGACGATCCTTGCCGTGTCAAACAATGTGGTACGCTCGTTGCTGCGCCGTCCGGGCCAAGTTGGAGTCCGTTCTGCGACGGTCCGTTGCGTTAAGCGCCGGTTGGCTTAGATTGCGGTACACGGTGCGTTAGTGCCACTCTGTTTAATATGTATCTTCTGCCATCCAATCATCAAATATACTTAGCGCCAGGATCCTCGTCCTGCTTTTGCTTATTATGGGCATAGCTCAGCCGCAGGCTGCTGGGCTGGCCAAATTCACCTCCGCGCTGCGACATCTTCATCATTCACACTGCGCCGTACCACCTACAATCCCATTTGTCGGACAACACAAAACTGCCACAAGACATCCCAATTTCCAGCCGAGACATGACTCCTGGAGAGACTCAGTGATACACAAATATGGCTGCGTTCCGAGCGCAGCTCCGACGACGGAGCATGTTCATCACCCTTGGGCTGGTAGCCATCTTCGTCTGGACACTCGCATCCTGTCGGTCGCAGAACACCAAGAGGTCTACCAGCCATGAGCAGTTCTGGGCCGATTTTCATCCTATGCTGGTGGCCTCCGAGCCCTACGCCAATTCTCCGACAAGGATCAGGAATGCCGAATCCGTGGGCTTCGACCCGAAAAACACAGATCCGCTGCCCGACTTCCTTCGCCTTTCCAAAGAAGATGTATCAGCTCTGAGGATGGCGCACAGCAAATTCCTCGATATGTTATTGCAGAATCCACCGAGCCTACACTACCAAGCGCACACTCGCGGTCTAGTCTCGACCGCTGGCGGCTCTTACCTCCCCGTCCTTGTTATCTCCCTGCGAATGCTTCGCCGGAGTGGCTCAACCCTTCCCATGGAAGTCTTTCTCGCCAGCTGGGATGAGTACGATGGCTATGTCTGTCAGATTGTTCTTCCATCCCTCAACGCACAATGTGTGGTTCTGTCTGAGATTCTTGACGCTGTCAGCGACAGCAAGTCCTCCATTGAAAAATACCAATACAAGGTCTTCGCGATGATGTTCTCCTCCTTCGAAGAGATTCTCTTCCTAGACGCAGATGCATTCGCTCTTGAGAACCCGGAAGTGTTATTTGAATCTGAACCTTTCATCTCAAAGGGACTAGTCACCTGGCCGGACTTCTGGCGGCCGACAACGTCGCCGCTATACTACGAGATTGTATCACAGGATGAAACGGCCGGGAAGAACAAAGAACAGCAACACAATCCCGCTACAATTCGCCAATCCACCGAGTCCGGCGAGCTTCTCCTCTCCAAACGAACCCACACACGCACCCTCCTCCTCGCCGCGTACTACAACTTCTACGGCCCCAGTCACTACTACCCCCTCCTTTCACAAGGCGCCGCCGGCGAAGGAGATAAGGAGACCTTCATCGCAGCAGCCATCGCCCTCAACGAGCCCTTCTACCAAGTCAGCGAGCCAATCCGCGCAGTGGGTAGAGGGACGCCCGATGGCTTTGCAGGGTCCACCATGGTCCAATACAACCCAATAGAAGACTATGCCTTGACCAAGAAAGGCGAGTGGCGCGTCCGGGGCGCATCCGTACCACCCCCACATCCATTCTTTGTCCATGTCAACTTTCCCAAGTTCAACCCGGCTACGGTGTTTCATGATAACGGGCCGGTTGTGGATGAGAACGGGAGATATACGCGGGCGTGGACGGCGCCGGATGACGTGGTGGAGGCATTCGGGGGAAAGAAGACGGAGAAGGCGTATTGGAGGGAGATTCTGTGGACGGCGTGTGCTCTTGAGGGTAAGAGTATTAGTTGGAAGGGGAGGGATGATATCTGTTCCAAGACGGCGGATTATTGGAGTTCGGTTTTTGAGGGGATGGAGGGGGTGGATCTTGCTTAGGGGGGTTAATAGCATAGTACCTATTGAGTTACTAGTTGTCCATGAAGTCTTGTGCTGGTTACAAGAGGTGATTGGGTTGTATATAGCATGGGGATATGTTCGGGTGTTTGTAATTGATGTTCTTATAATGTCACTAATGTGAACCTGTCTCGTCTCTTGATCGGTCTTGATTCACCAAGTCTGACAAGTATCTGTAGATGAGGGAGGTACTATCATAGAGGTGATAGTACTGGGGAGTTGGACAGACACTTTTCGCATCATGATAGTATAAATGATACTAATATAAATAAGAGAACACTGCTTGTTCGTCTGGACAGTAATTTGGTGGAAATATCAGCCTGCTACAGTTGATCGAATATATATCCTAAGCGGTATGTGGTTCTATAGCTTCACCTGGATGTTATTCATTTGCCTATATTATATTCTCGACTTGCATATATAGTGTATAGTGCCTCAAATCATGGTATTGTTATTGGTAGGACATTCTTCACAAATGAATAAGTACCTAGGGTACTAACTCCTACCTCAGCGTGACATGCCCTCATTTAACTCCTATTGCTATAAGTTATCATATGCAATATTCGAGAATGATCATACCAAACATCTACGAAATTAGACAACGTACTAATCGAAGTTAAGTTGTTCTCGATAGTATATACTTACGTGTGTACCTGCCAGCTGACATTCCTCAACATACTCAATAGACATCCTATGAATATATAGCAAGATTGAGTAGTACCTTCATATTTCAATTTCAGCCGGTCCTTATTCATTACAAACCACTCTACTTATTCCAATTCCGTCTAGACCACTCATAGTTACGAAGTCCTTTTCATCCTTCAATTTCAACACCAGCAGCAGCAGCAGCAGTAGAAGTAGAAATTACTCTCTACGCGTACGTCATACCAGCCATGCACGTCAGGAATGGGCATGTCAGTAGTAAAAGCTATGTACGAGTAGAGTAGATCTAAGCTTCAGCATTCCTCCGCCGTTACAGAATCCCATCAACCATCGACTGATCGACTCTATACCTACCTGACTCATCACCTTAAAATTATCGGGCTGACATACCAGCGCAGCGAAATTATCCGCGCCAATCAAGGACAAGAATTGGGAAGGTATCCGGATTTAGTAGTTAGTAGACGTTGTCGCATGCGGACATGAAACAACTTGATGGGGGGGGTTTGATAATTCCCTTTCCCCTTCCAACGCCCCCCGGTTTCTCCCCCGTTTCCTCCTCCCCATCATATACGGGAGGAATGCGGGCTGGCCGTTAACGGAAAGGGGGAGAAAGGGAGGGAGGGAGGGGCCGAACCGAGGAGAATGGACAGTCAGGTCAGTCAGCGACTTCGGTCGGTCAGCTAGTCATTTTATTTAATTAGATAACTAACTAGCTAGTCAGGTATGTAAGTAATTATGAAGATGCCCGTGCGTGATGGGGGTGGTGAGCAATCAAGTAATTTTAAGCCTCTCTTTTTGGTCTGCCCGGTTTGGAGAGGGGCAGACCACTAGGTCAGGTATGGGTCGGCGGCTGTTGGACTAACATGTTGCTTACTGGATTGGTAAGGGTAGAGTTGTGTGTGACTGTGTGTGTATGCTCTGCGGGGCTCGGGAACGCTGAATGCTAGACTAGGGAATGAGAGACAGAGAGAGGATACTACTCCGTAGTCCCCGAGACATCATGGGAAGAGGGAAAAAACCACCACGCACACTTGCTCCGTGCTTTTTAGGCAACAGATCCCGGGAAGCGAAAAGCAGCACTAGGGGAACTCGGGAGTGGGAGTGGGATGCGCTTTTCACGGCGCGCCGGATCCGACGAGGCCGGTTAGATAGGTAGACTGGATGCTATTCACGGGTGTACTTAAGTAGACACTATTGGAAACCAAATGGGGCAGATCTAGTCGGAGATCGTTAAGAGCTGACTGAGTGACGGAGTATTCCGTCGCCGGAGAAAGGAAAAAAAGAGGAGTCAGAGAGTCATGACCCTGCAGTGGAATTCGGAGCGAGGTATTTGGTCGTACGATGGATCCAAAAAGTGATAAGCAAATGTGATGACCAAAGCGCAATGCGCTGGGGGAGTTATTCGGTCGGAAATGTATCAACCACCCCCGGCACATCTGATGCAGCAACAGACATAACCACAGTACAGTATTTACTGTGTTGTGATGCAGGTCAGTGACTTGGCTGGCTACCTACCCCTATCAGTGGCTCTGGGAAGTGCTTTAGTGTAGGATGGATGCTTGTTTAGCGTCGGCGGTAAGTCTCGACTCAGTCGGATACTTGCCTAATTGGGCAAGGCGTGGGCGTGCCTGGCTCTCGGACGGTCGGAAAACGGCACTCCATCGCCATTCGGCCTATCATTGCTGTGGCTGAGTTGGGTTGGACCAATGGTAAGGATGATATGCACGGATCATCCGCGGGTCTGTCCTGGTCTTTTCCCGGTCGGGTCTAGACGAGGTTGCACAACTGGCAGTAAGTAAGTAGTCTAGCACAAGCAGGTACCTCGCCCATTGTGAGGCAGGAGTCAGGTACGAGGGAAGTACGCTGTGTGTACCTGCATATACGGTATCCAGTCGATCAATGTGGTAAGATGGGAAAAAGAAATTATACTCCGTCTTCAACCTCCAGACGCATGCTTGTCTCTCTATTTTATTATTTTTTTTTTTCTCTCGGCTTTCACTATCCCCGGATTTGTCTTGCCCTACCGTATTAATAGCACCCGTTCATGTGTTCGTAGGAAGGTGCCAGCGATTAATTAATTTATAAATTAATAGATTCGGCGATAGAATCCAGATGGAAGACTAGCCCCCGACTAACCGCCTCAGTAGTCTGTAGTCTGTACAAGTCAGCACGAGTGCCGAACAACGCTTCTCCACTCACCCCCCCTAGCGCTGTCATCCGCAGTGGTCCAATCAGGACTTATGTGATGGCGAGAGGGGCGGGTACCTGGACCGAATCACCAGGGATAATGGTGGAAGTGGTCGGCACGGGCGGAGTGCAGCGCCAAAGATCAGTGAGTGATTTGCGCTGAACGACAGAAATATGGGTAGAAAAGCGAGGGGGATCAAAGTAAATACGGAAGAAAATCGAGGCCAAAGGATATTAATAGAAAACCAGCACGTCGACAGCTCCGGGATTACGGTTGTACCTGAGAGGGTGTAAGTGTGGGAGGCCACTCATACGGCTGGCCAGAAAGGCAAAAATGAGGTCAGTCACCTGCTGGAAGCGGTAAAGTCCCTGATCCTCTTTCTGTGGACAATGGCCGGAGAGGCCCGAACTGCCCTTACCAAGTCTCCCACCAGCGCCAACCTCTTCTCACTCGCTCCCTGAATTGTGCGGTTCGCCATCCATGGTTCCAACCCTGAAGCTGTTATGGGTAAAGCAATCAGTTAGTCAGGAATCAAGAAGTGTCCCCTTTCCCACCCATGGTGATGCGGTGCCCGGTGACGGAACCACGGCCCTGGTTCTGCGGTTCGATTCAGGAACCGGGTCGAGTGGCAGGTCGCTTCTTGGGGTAGGTTTCTTGGCTCCGCCTCTTTTTTGTCCTCTTTTCTTTTTTTCCCTTCCCTCTTCCCTTCCCTTGATATTTTTTATTTTTTATTTTTTATCTTTTTACTTCTTTTCGCTTTGCTTTCCGGTCCTGATTCGGCAAAATTATGAGGTCACTCCACCACCTGAAACCCTTTTGTAGCTTGTCAATCGTCGGGCGCTTATGCGATCCCGTCCGGGCTTTGGAACGGTCCAGGTCACGTTGTGTCTGGTTCGCTACCCCTGGTTGTATCCGTAGTCCGATCGCTCAGTGGGTTCGCCTGCACGATGTTTCTGGAGGCATGGAGGTAGACAATACATGACTTAAATGCTGGTCCCTACATAAATGCATCTAGAAATGACTGGGATCGCGAGCATGGTAGCTATTTATGGCTATAGATGGTCGAAGGGGATGATGCTCCGATTCGGCTGGGTTGGTCGTTGCCTTGCTTAGGCATACGGTTCCGAGTTTCCTATGCTGGGTATCTTCTGCTGGAGCGACGCAGAGTGACTGACTGGGGAGGGGGAAAAGTACGAGCATAACCTAAACCATCCTGAGGTCGCAGTCTTCAACGTCCACATCCATGCAGAAAGGCACGGAAGAGAATGCTTATTGGATGGCTGGAATCCCAAACAACAACGTCGGGCAGCAGGTGCAGATGCCGCGACTGGATGCAGGGGCTAAAACAAGGCGGTGGGTGTGGGTGGAGGGCGGTGGTGGTCTTGTAACATTCTGGTCCTGCTTCAAGCCATGTGAAATTCTGTAACAACCCAGATGTTTTATCCCCTCCGGATGGAGTAGTAGCAGCAGCATATCGTGACCATAACAGTCTCATTTCGATCAACAATGTCTAGATCGTGGGAGAATAAATACTCAAAGTATTTGGTGATCCTGAGAGATGTGAATTAGAGAGAAAAGGAAAAGAGTATTTATTGACTTTCAATGCCCTGAGTGAACTGAGCTACGGTGATTACTTACTCCTTGACTCACAACTACGACTACTACTTGTTGGAGCTGCCTCGCCAGAAAAAATTCTATACCAGGAAAAATAAATCGATCATTAATAATAAAAGAAACGAATAATCCGAAAAGGAAATAATAGGAAAAAGGAAAAGGGAATAAAAGGGCAGAAAAAAAAATAAAAAGGAAAAAAAAGAGAGGCGGCCAGCCCCACGGAGAAAGTCAGGAACAGCCGGTGCCAAAACAGTCCAGCGCCAACTACTGAACCCGCTAACCACTTTGGGCCCTCCCCCATCCCATCTCCTGACCGTCGCGCTCGCTCGCTTTCTCCTCTGCCTCCTCCACCCGTTTGTCTCTTCTTCTTCCCTTCTTCTTCTTTCCTCCCTTTCCCTTCCTTCCCACCGACCATCTTCGCATCTTTCTTTCCTTTCCCATTCACTCTTTTTTGTGTTTTTCACCCCTTCCATTCTTTCTTTCAACTACATTCGCTCGCTTCAGTCGATCGTTTCACTCTTTCACGATCTATTTCTCAATCTAGCTGTATCTTCGCTTACCTCAGGGCCGCCCATTGACGCAGACCTTCGCCATTACCAAACACCGGCCCCCCCCCTCCGAATCTGTACCGATCTACTTTTGATATCTCAATCTCACGTACAGCCTCCCCCATTACGGTTGCGAAGAGCAAGGATCATATTTCCCTTCCAAGCTGCCTAGGTCAGCTGTTTATATTATTCCCACGACATTTGATTGCCCTCTCATCCCGACGCTTCTGCGACGCGCTCATCTTCTCTCTCGCGCTTTGCTTCATCGGAACTCTCGACTCTCGACGAGTTTCCAGCCAAAGCGCTTCCATTCGTTTGACATTATCCGCATTCTCTGGCGCTTGACGCTGCTTCAGAGATCCGGAAACTCCCCTCCCCAATCCTCATTGACTGTCGGCCGGATCGTCACACCACCCATACTCCTTTTCCTTCCACGGAATCTCCTTTCTACGAACTTGGTCGTATCGCATTTCTTACCATTCAACTTCACTCAATCCCTGCAAACATGTCTTCGACAGACACTCCTGACCCTTCGACTACGTCGAACTCTTCCTCCAACCCCGCTTCTACCATGACTTCGTCTTCGTCGACTACTTCGAGCCCGTCCCCGGCCATGTCCAACTCCACCACGGCCGCCTCCGCTTCGGCACGTCGACCTCAGCGGAAGAGCACGCTGACCCAGCAGCAGAAGAACAACAAGCGCCAACGGGCGACTCAGGATCAGCTGGTCACCCTCGAATTGGAATTCAACAAGAACCCGACTCCCACGGCAGCCACGCGCGAAAGAATCGCCCAAGAAATCAACATGACTGAGCGGTCCGTCCAGATCTGGTTCCAAAACAGGTTTGTGATCTTTAATATCATTCCTTACCTGCTGCTAACCGAATCTGTAGACGCGCAAAAATAAAGATGCTTGCTAAGAAGAGTATCGAAACGGGTGAAGGCTGTGATTCTATTCCCGAGTCGATGCGCCAGTATCTGGCCATGCAATTCGACCCCACTAAGCCCGGTGCAAGGGACCCCTTTGGGCGCACGGGTGGATATGGAACCGGTGGTGTTTATCCCCATGAGTCGGCTCCTTCTGGCAAAGTTGGTACGTTTTGAGTCCGCCATTGCTATTTTGTCACGAATACTGACGATCACAGTTATTCATCACTTCACCTGTCGTTCCTTGACTATCGGTAGCTGGCGACGTATCGGACAGAACGCGATGGATCTGGTGGTATTCTATTCCCCTGAGAAGGCCTGCATGACGTACTATATCAACAACGATTCTGCTGGATACAAGATCGAGTACCCGTTTGCCTACATCAAGAACATCACACTGGAGTCGGGCGACCAGACTCCTCAGGCAAACGGTGCTCCCCCGCGACCTGGCGGTCTTGTCGTTGAGCTGAACCGGCCCCCGCTGTTCTACATGGACTCCTCCAACTCTGGTGGATTCTACCAGTGTGGTGACTTCACCGAGGATCAGCAGGCAAGCCAAATCCTGGTCCACCATCTCGGGGGACATCCCAAGGTTCTCAGCGTGCAACTTGCCAAGCTAGTGTCCCTGGAATCCTTCCAGAACCGCCTTGCGTACAACAACTTTGCCATGAACCCGCCCATGTCCCCTCCGTTTATCCAGCGTCCTGCATCGCAGCCGAATCAATTCGCTCCGGCCTTTATGAACGTGTTCCCCGAGAGCCATGCTCACCTGAACATTCCCGCAATGCGCGGACACAAGCGCCAGAGGAGTCGCTCAGTTCCGGTAGCTGTCGACTTCTCTGCCATGCAGGCTCCTCTTGCCCACTATAACATGCCCCAGACTCCGGCTCAGTTCAACCATGCAGATACGGGTATCTTTGCTCCCGTTCCCCAGTCGACTCATCCTTTGGCTGTCAACCTTCGGATAGATACCTCTGCCTCCTATGGGTTCGACCCGCGGACACACCCTATGTCTGCTACCACGACAGCTTCCCCATCAGACTTTGCCAGCCCTGGGCTTTTCAGCACTGGAGCCGGCGGTGACTCAACTCCTGTTGCTACCAACATGGGGACCCCCTTCAACCTTCCCTTCGTCTCGCCCGCTGTTGACTCAACCGTGGCGTCCCAAGCAACTTATTCTAACGTCAGTCATGCCGATCCTATGATTGCGAACCATTCTCCTCCATTGTCGAACATCTCGCACGCTCCCCAAGATATGTACGGTCTGGGTAACGAACATCAGCCCAACTACACGGATGATGGCATGTCCATGAATGGGATCTATCCCAAGCATAACATGAACTTCGCTGTTCCGGCTTCTATGGGTCTTGAGACCAACACATACGATCTACCCATGCAGCCCATGTCCGGCCATACATCCCCCGGGGTCCATGGCGATTTCCAGAGCCTGAGCCTGGAGAACGTTGATCCCAACGGCATGGCCCCTGGCTCCTGAAGCCAGAACATGCTATGACCCGTATTGATGTTGGCTGTCTTCGGCCATCGGCCTAGCCATATCTCCATCTACCCTTGGGTAGCACCGCACATTGGCGCGGATCTTCAAATTTCCGCATCTTCAATGTTTCGAATCTTCCTGGCCACTGGTCTCGAGTACCTCCACTCGGACTGATGAGATACCCAGACATCCGCGTGATGTATGGCCAATCGACGATGACGGGAGGATGTATTCTTTCTTGATTATGTTCTCAGCGTCTTCTGTATTAATAACCTTCTCCGGGGCTGGTCCTGAGCGTTCATTCGCATTTCTCATTTCCCAGCAGGCTAGCTGGGCTTTTCATCTTCTTCTCTGCCCTGACCATTTTTCTTTTCATTTTGTTCATACCTGGTCAGGGTTTAACGTGGTTATGCCAGAAAGTCAGACAGATGGCGACATTCGGTTATTTTCTTGGATTCTTCTGGGTTGGCGGGTTAGGAATCGTTTGCTCATTTCCCTTTGTGATGGTTATTTATCGTCCTGAGATTGGCGTCTGCATATTTTGCTTGAAGCAATCCTGTCATGTAGCACATTGATAATGGTGCCACTATCGAGGCGGAGCTGAGACAACCTCCGTCCGGATTGTGCGCACGGCTGATATGGAGACATTTCTCAGGTCCAACCTGAACCATGAAACACCACCAACTGCCCCACGCGCTGCTCGTAGCAAATACATTCATAAAATAGTAGAGTGTCAACCTATCGACTCGCACATAGTAACAGTAGTATACAGGGGTATCGTATCTAAATCAAGCGGATAATCCAACGAAAAAAGCTCCCTACCGACCCTCCCACCCCTTCGGCACCGGCGCCTTCAACCCCCTCGACTCCCTCAAATACTTCTCAATCCAAACCTCCATCTTCTCCAACAGATTCATCTCCCTGCCCCCCTCAGTCACACCATCCCGACACCAAACACTCCACGACCCCATCTCCACCGCCATCAACACATCCGTCCCCAACCGATCCCCCACCACCGCAATCTCATCCGCGCGACTCACCACCCCCCTTTCCCGGAACCACTCCAGCACCTCCCTCCCACAAAACGGTTTCTTCTCGCTCCCCTCGGGAAGCCGAAACACCGGAATCCGCAGCTCCCCCAGTTCCTTCTCCAGCTCGCGCACCTCTGCATCATACCGCGGGTGACTCCCCGCGCGGTTCGAGACAATCAGGATTGAGTTATCTGCCGTGAAGGGGGACGTTGGGGAGGTGCGTAGCGCGTGCAGCTTTTTAAGGATCTCGGATGGGAAAGAGGTGGTTTTCGGGTGGCAGAGTGTGTTGTCTTTGTCGAGGACGAGGGCCCGGATTGTGGGTGGTGGCTTTTGGGTGTTGTTGGGGTGGACTGCTGGGCCGAGGTTTTCGGGTAGGTGGGTGATTGTTGGGATGGTGAGGTGGGGGAGAAAGTTGGAGGGGGTTTTTAGGAGGGTTGAGACGGCTAGGTTGAAGGCGCGGAGGTTGCTGTTGGGGGGTTGCATGGCGGACTTTGGGTAGTAGGATTTGGGAGGTGGTGGTTGTGTTGTAGTTTGTAGGTTGTAGATGGTGCTGTTTAGTGGGGTATGGTTTGAGGAGTGTGGTGGTTTGTAGATCTTAATGCATAGTAGATCTAGATCTATTGCTTGAGGGGTGGGAAGTGAGAAGTAAAATGGTGCTTAATGTGTGTGTATCAGATTAATTGCTGGAATGGAAGCAATGGATGGATAGGATGGATAAGATGGAAGAAAGAAAGAAGACTAGTTCTTGGCCGAGAAAGTCTCCCGCACCGCAGAGCCGCAAAACTCTCCGCCGGCGGATCGCACGCGCCAGACACAAAGACAACCTTCCCTTCCCTTTGCCATTCTGTCTTCGTTTCACGCCTTTGAATAATAGTCAAGCTTCTTTTTTTCAGCTTGCTTTATATTATCTTTCTCCGAACTTTGATTCTCTTTTCCTCCACGGCTTCGCTAGAATCTCTCACATTCCGCAATGGGCAAGTTGACCAGCACGATCGGTATCCCGATCAAGCTTCTTAATGAGGCGCAGGTTGGTTCTATCCCTGCTTTTTTTAAAGCTATTGGCTTGTTATCTGTGTATTGCGATCAAACTAACACCGGGATGGTTTGTATAGGGCCACGTCGTCACACTTGAGATCACGTCCGGGGTTGTCTACCGTGGAAAACTCCTGGAGGGTGCGTTCACACCCCTCCTCCTCCTCTGCCTCCTTTACACCTATCCATCCTTTCCAATACAACAATCCCAAATACAGCTAGCTATCACTAACTTCCTCTGCTACAGCTGAGGACAACATGAACGTCCAACTGAAGGATATCACGGTCACCGCGCGCGACGGCCGCGTGTCACATCTCGACCAGGTGTACATTCGGGGAAGCCATGTGAAGTTTTTCATTGTGCCGGATATGCTTAGGTTCGCTGCCACCACCATCTCTTCCTCTTACATGTTTATTGGGTATTGTGGTATGGGCAATGCTAACTCATATCGTATAGGAACGCTCCCATGTTCCGCTCACGAGGCCAGCGCGGTCGCGGTGTCGGTCTTGCTCGTGGTAAGGCCACGGTGCAGAGGGCGAGGGGACAGAGACGGGGTTAAAAAAACGATATGGATACTAGTGGGTGGATGGATGGATGGTGCGGCGTTACTATTTTGTTTCTATTCGAGTTGCTTTCTGTGTGTTCTCCTTTTTCGTATCTATAAACTTGTCTTGTCTCGTATTGGCTTGGCTGTCTGGGTCGTCGGGTCTGATATCATATTAAATACATTGAGTTGATTGGGTTATTGGGTTTCTTGGGAGGGCATTGATGGAGGGTATGTGATTTGTGGCAGTGCTACTGGGTTTTCGTAGGGTGTTCCTTGGGAGGGATCAGGGTGTAGTGATGAGACAGATACAGCTAGCTAGCTAGGTAGCTGATGTGATAGGTTAATATCAATACCGACGACACGAAGCAAATTCGAATACATCATTACAACATTGTGAATAAACCCAAAGCATAAATTGTATTGCAAGAGGGCAATGAAACATGGTAAGGAATATCAACACGAGATCAATCACTCACTAACCAAACCACCACCTCCGAGCTCACTCCGCCGCCGTGTCCCCGCACCCCGTCCAACTTTCTCTCTTCTCCTCCTCAACTGCTTAACCCTTCACGATAAATACACAGCAAACCCTACCTACACCACATATCTCACCTCAAACAAACTCTCCCGTAATAACGACCGAAAATGCCACCCACAACATCCACATCAACATCAACCTCCAAACCAACCCCCATCCCTAACCCCCGCCGCCTCCTCATCCTCACCCCAACCACACACTCCCAATCCATCATCCCTCCTCTCCTACACTCCCTAACAGGCACCCCCGTCACCACTCCTCCAACAGCGCCAGCGCCAGCATCAGCTTCACCAACACCAACACCCACCCTCTCCTCCGCCTCCACCATCGCCGCCTCATCCACCACCTCCCTCGCATCCAGCACGACCATCACCACCACCACATTCGCCGGCTACACCACACACCCGCCCCTCCACCTCTCAAACAAGTACTACACAGCCGATATCCCAATCTGGGTAGACGAGATCCCTCTCCAGACCCCCGACGAACCAACCTCCTCAGCATCCGGTAGTACCATCTCCCCCGCGCAATGGAAAACCGAATTCTCCAGCCCCGAGGCCCAAGTCGTGCGGGACGCTATCGGCGCCGTGATGATCTGTTTCCGGAACCCCGTGCAGATGGACCCCGTACCCGGCCAGCAGGAACCACAGCAGGAAGATGATGTGGAAGATAGGGCTGATGTGCGCGGGCTGAAGGAGTTCGTGAGGGCTGTGGGGGAAGTGAGGGCGTTGATTGAGGAGGAGAGGGGTGGGGTGGGGGAGGTGCCCGGGTTGGTTGTTTTGGTGGGGGAGAAGACGAAGACAGCAGCTTCTGGGAAGGTAGCTGGTGAGGGTGAGGATGAGGATGGGCTGGGGTTGGAGATTGATGAGGTGTTTTCGGAGGGGTGGTGGGAGGATCAGGTTTGTGAGTTGGGGTTGATGGGCATGGAGGTTGTGAGGTGGGGTGGGAAGGAGGGGGAGGATGAGGAGGTGGAGAGGAATCGGTATGGTGGTATGTTACTCTATCTTCTTTTTGCTTTGCGTCTGGGGGGTATATGATGGGTAGTGATGGTGATGCTAACTTCTGGTTGTAGAATTACAGGGCATGCGCCGGATTAAAGAGGTCTTGGAGACGCATGATTGGGCTGCAACGGAGGTTGCAGAGACAGGGTTACTGAATGATGGGATTGATGATGATCTTGAGCGCGAGCTTTTGGGCTTGGATGATGCAGACAATGGGTTCGATTTGGAGGTGGATGAGCTGCAGCGCGAGATGGTTGGGTTGCGGATGGCGATTGAGCGGGGAGGAGGGGATGGGCTTGATGATGATGACGATGAAGGGGACGAGGAGTTGCGCGTCGATGCGGTCGAGGCGCTGTTGCTTCGCATGAGAGCCATCAAGGGTAGTGATGATTCCGTTTGTCTGACAGTGAGGTTGGATGTTTGCTAACATGGTCATTAGATATCAGCGACGAATTGCCCGAAGCGGAGAGGAAACGGTTTGCAGCAAAGGCCGTGCGTGATATCATGAGGGAGATGTAGTTGCCAAGTATATAGTGTACATTATATTGTGTATTATCATGCCGAGCTTATATCCATCTATACCATAGTACCACTATGACCATATCACATATACCCACTTCTAACCCTCCACACCTCTTATCTCCACCCCCAATGTATCCAGTCAACACGCCTATTTCTTGCTCATCGCCTTGCGTCTCTGCTTAATCATATGCGTATACAAAATATACGACCCTACCCAAGTTAGCACACACACATCCTTCACAAACCCCAAACCTCCACCCCCTCCCAAGAACAAAGGTGGATAAAACTCACCAGGAACATAAATCCCCAACACAGCAATCAAAACCCACCTATAAAGCGGACTCACCAACTCCCCGGCAGGCCCCAACGCCTTGTACACCATAACACACTCACTGGAGATACCAAGAGGATAAAGCACATAGAAGGTGTTATACCTACAACATCCCCAGGGTTAGCATCTACACCGCCAAACAAATCATTGGAATATAGAATCTCACCTCAACCAAGCCCACCACCCCGGCACCCCAACCCCCGACAACTGCAGGGCAAAGAACCCATAGCGAATACACTCCGTCACACCCCAGGCGCCCAAACACCCCAAGAAGGCGTAATCACCCAGCCCAACAACCTCCTGACTTTTCTCCCCAACAATCACACCCTGGAACGGATACATGATCCCCCAAACGAGAAGAATGCGACTAGCGACCTGCATAGCGGTGGTGAGGACCGGCGCGCGCACGAGACGGAGTAGACTGTGGATGATCTCCAGTAGGGCGAGGGATTGGGTTGTTAGGAGGAGGGGGTAGACGTTCGTGAAGATTTGGGGGATGGTATTCGGAGTGAAGAAGAGCTGCGAGAAGCCTCGGATCGTGCATGTTGCCCAGAGGGTGAGGGAGACGGCGTTGTAGAGGAGGAGGTAGGGGCGAGATAGTCCCATCCTTTCTTTTTGTTGGTGCCGTTCAGGTTGATTGTCGCAACGGCGAAAAAGGGGGTGGTGGTGGAATGGTTGTGGTGAAGGAAAGAGGGAAAATAAGTAGCGTAGCTAGATAAGTAGAAGGGTAGGTAGGGACTAGTGGATCGTTGGGACGCGTCGATCAGTGGTGAGGATGGTTATGTAATCTCCCCCGGATTTTGTGCCGAGGATGATTTAGGACTGATTTTTGGGCTGTGTGGAATGTGTGGTGGGTATAATGGTCAATGCTTTAACTACTACATTCTTATAGGGGTAGTAAGGTATTGCATACGCTACTGACACGCTGGCATCTCATACTTTTAATCATGATTCATCCTATAAACACGCTAATCAAGGACACAAATGCAAACACGCAGCTTCATGAAGCGAGAACTAGCCTCCAGCATGAGTCGGCAACGCAGTTGCCCTCGTCGTCCGCTGCCAATCAGGTCGTGACCGTACAATATCATGACATTCGTGATCCTCATCATCGCTATTGTAAATACTGTGCGAGAAAGGTATACCACTGAGAAGGTAAAAGGTTGCTAAATCGGACAGATGCTTCAGGCTAGAGCGGCCCTCCGGGTTCCCACGCCCAGAGAGCCTCGTAAAACAAAGGAATGAAAAGCTTCGTGATGACAAGGCGAAAGTACGAAAGCAAGGCGCTCGCTGATGCCGGGCTGGTGTCATAATCATAATGCCGTCATCTCAAAGCTCGTTACACGTCGTTTAGTTTGCGCGAATCACAAGTCGGGAGACAAATTTGTTGGATAAACAGTCGAAGTCATTGCGGTTGAACTTGGAACCATTGCGGCCCCGAAGATAGCTCTCTACAGGAATATTAGCAATGCACAGACGCACCAGAATTCAATTTCGCGCTTACCAAATTGCGTAACATGTTGGCGGACCTCGGTCATCGTGTTGCAGACATCGGGGTTCGAGTGCAGCAGGTGGTGGTGCTTGGTCGTCTCCCAGTCCGTAAACGCAGGCAGCTTCTGTGAAATCGCCTGGAACAGACCGACGATGACTCCCACCGGTGTGGTCTCCATATCATTGCAGAACTTATCAACAGCGGCAGCATCCTGCGACACGTCAGCATCACGGCTTGCACACACGTTCATTCCACATACCGGAGTACGATAATGGCAGTCAAACTGCATCTCCTCCCACACGGCCAGAAGTATCGAAGCCAGGATGAAAATTGTCGGCCAGTTCTTGAGCTTCTCTCCACTGTAGACACTTGAGTAGAGGCTAGAAAGCTCTTCCAGCACGTCCTTCTGCAACTCTCGCCACATGTTCGCCATGGCACACTTGACCTGGAAGTTGACCATCACAGGCGCTATCGTCTTGCCACTGAACTTGGACGACTTGTCGTTGATCTTGCCCTTGAACTGCTCCTCCTCGCCAATACCCTCCACCATGGTAACGTGCAGCGTCAGGTTGTAGGCAATGATAAGCTTCAACGCCTTGCGGATCACCGGCAACTTCGTGCGGTAGTAATACCGGAAGGCCGTCTTCAGCATCTGCGTCAGGAAAGGTGTGCCTTCGAAGTAGTCATCCACAAACTTCTCAAACGTTCCGTTGCCGTCAATGTGGCGATCCAGATAATCCGAGAGCATAGCGTGCGAGATGCCTTCCATTCCAGCGGAGAGCCTGGCCGTTTCCACCTCGTATGGCGTCGGTTCCCGGTGCATAGACTCCACCCAGTCGACCTTGAAGCACTGATCGTCGTGTACGTAGACCTCGCGGGCGTTGATGGGAAGAACTTGACCGTAGCCATGAGTGATGAAGAGAGTCGTCTCCAATTCCGAGAACCCCTTGATGTTTCCGACCGTGAAATCATAGTTGACGTGACGATCGTAGTCCGCCTTCCAGTCCTTCATGAAATAGCCGATCTCCTTGATGTCAATCCGCGTGCAGGGAACCTGCCACAATCGCGCATGTGAGGGTTGGCAGCCCGCACAGGGCTCTCCTTTGTCGCACTATTTACTCAATCAGTATGTCGCATCGCTAAGGTGGGATCTATCTTACAGTCTTCTTCAGGAACTTGCAACGCAGACACGCGCGCAGTTTGCGGATCTCGCTGGCTTGTTTCCGTTGGTCCGGCTTGAGCGGGCCCTTACGCTTGCCCACACGCTTCTCGGTCTCTGGCTTTCCATTTTGCGACTGCTTACGAACCTTGGTCTCGGCTGTCTTAGCAGCGATCGGGCTCTTACGAGACGGCTTCCGGCTAGGAGGGGAAGCCGATGAAGTTGATCCTGCGGACCGAGTAGGCGGGGTCGACGCCTTCTTGGAGGGCACCGGAATGGGCCGCACAATGGCCACGGGGCTAACCGCCGTAGGCGATTGCGAACCATGCGAGGTGTGGTCGTAAGAGACCCGACGAGTCATGCTGTGGTTGAAAGCCGTGTCAAAGTTGGTGTCAGAGCTGGGCGAATTGATTGGATTCGTGATTTCCACGAAGCTGCCGTATGACGTGGAATAAGACGACTCGGACAGAGACCGGTCGTGGAGCGTCTGAGTGGGATTGATAAAGATGCCCTGGTCCGGGTAGGAGAATTCATGAGAGCGGCGCGGCTCAATGGTGCTCCAGCCGTTGTCGCTACTGGACAGAGATCGGACCTCCAGGTAAGTGTCGGTGGGAGAGCTGCTCTCCAGGACATTCTGTGGTGCGCTGTAGGCGGACAGATCCGGTAAGCCATCGGCAGGAGGGAACGCCATGAGGTCGGCCTGGAGGTCATGGTAAGGGAATGGAACCATGTCGACCGGCGCGGAGAGGGGCAGATAAGAGCCATCGAGCAGGCTCGTGCTCATGTGGCCGTGGGCTCCAGACATGAGATCCACGGGAGAAGAGTGGATAGACATGCCATAGCTAGCGGCGGTGGTGAACTGCTGGGGAGCGGAGGAGGCCTCCTCATGGGAGTACTGAAGGTGGGGTTGCAAGTGCTGGAAGTGCCAGTCGACCATCAGATTAGGATCCTGAGCTACCGATTGATCGTAAGCGTGACCGCTGGTTTGCAAGGGCGAGATGTCTCGCGCTCCATCCGATCGCTGAGAGGCCTGGTGGTCCACCGCCACGGGCCATGAGTGAGCTTGGAGGTAATTCCTCGAGTCGTAGTCCAGGCCAATGAAGCCGTCGCTTGATAAATCGACATTCGACATGATGCTGACAACAGGAAACTATTTACCAACGGTGAAGAGGGAGAAAAGGAAAGGATTGCATGAACTTTGCTGGACACTTTGTGAAGAGGGAAATAAAAGAGGAGGAAAAAAAGAAATGAATAAGATGGGAGAGTAAAAAAAAAAAGAATAAAAAATAAGAATAAAACTCAAGCGATAGACAGACAGCAAGACAGACAGATAGACAAATAGACAGACAGAAGTTAGACAGACAGATAGACACACGCTGGGTGGTACAAAAAACAAATAAGAGCGTGAAGAATATGGGTGGGTGTGGGAGGGGATTGGGGGATGGGGGATGGGGATAGGAGGAAGACGTGGGAATACCGATTGATGGAATGGTGATTGATGAAGCCTGAGGACCAGAAAAGGGCTTCGGATGAGCAGAAAGCCCAGAATCCGGGGGTGCAAAGCGAGAAGAAGAGGACGAGGACGGGCGATAGGATGAGGCCATGGCGGGCAAAAGCCAGGCTAGCGGTGGGGAGCAAAGCAGCGGTGAGGCGGGAGTTGCGTCGGCCGGAGATACGCTAGGGGATCCTGGGAAGGAGTTATCACCATCCGAAGTGGGGATTTCGTGAACGAAGTCAAAAAGACTGACTGACTCTCTTCCCTCTCTGTCCCGGGAAAATTGGGAAAAGAGAGGCTGGGTTGCATCCCCTCCGCCCGGGTGGGCTTAATGCCACGACCCTTTCCTACTTGATTGGAGTGGCGTTACTCCATCCACAGCTGATGAACTACTATCAGTACTCACTACTATCTACTATCTACTACTGTGTCCTAGGTTAGCACGTACAGTAGTCTGCTTTTCTTCCCCGGGCGCCAAAATGGAGAACGAGATGATATCCACAAAAGAAAAAAAAAGTAACCAAAAAAAAAAAAAAAAAAAAAAAAAAAAAAAAAAAAAAAAAAAAAAAAAACTTGAAGAAAAAAATTGGAACAGAAAAAAAAAGAAAAGAAACAACAAGAAAGAAGGCAGACAGAATAGTGCCACTCCAAAGAAACAAAACAGAAAGAAAAAAAAGAAGCCAACATGGTCTTCACACTAGTCCTATCTGAGTTCAATCCGTAGGACCCTACATCTCACAATATGCTAGAGACCGGTTAACCCAATATGGCCCTAGGATCGAACCACTACGTACTGCTAACTGTTCAATTGACAAGTCTCATGATTATCAGCCCTTTCTCGATCTTGGGCAAATTGGAAGCCTACCAACCGAGTAAAAGAGTGCAAAAGGGTAAAAAAAAAAATAAAATAAAATAAAAAAAATAAAAGACTA